TGGATGAATAAGTGGATAAATGCAAAGAGCGAGATCAGCGCCAAGAAAAGTAATGCAATGCAAACCGTCCTTGGAAAAAAAAAAAAAAAAAAGAAAAAACAGAGGCAGAGTGCGTGCTGGACGTGACTTGGAAAATGAGAACAGTAATAAGCATTGAAGCTTGCTTGGATGGTGCCAATCTCAGTCATTGTGTTTCTTCGGAGGGGAGGGAACAAGTTTGTTTCGTTCACTCGTTTTCGTTTGCTCATTTGTTCGTTTGTTTCGTTCGCTCGTTCGTTTCATTCGCTCGGTTTGTACTTTGCTTTCATGATTCAAATCATCATCCTAACTTGTCATCCTCGTCTTTGACCTGCAGTCTCAATTTACTGTAACTTGTGCTCTTTTTTTTTTTCCGGGTTTTCTGTTTCGGGGGTTTCGCGCCACTTTGTCATTTTCCGTGCGCCTTGGTACACCCCTGCTCCTGGGGCTCTGCGCCCGGGGTTGGCGAGATGACCTTGTGCATGTGATTTGACTCAGGGAATGACGATTGGAGGGTTGGGCGGGGGGGGGCACGCAGCTGTGCGCGTTCGAGCGCGCGAAAACTGACTGAAACAACCCCATGTGCGAAACCAGATCAACCTTGAAACCCATGCTGTCGCCTGAGAGCATGACCAAGAGTCAGCGCTCGTGGTGTAACATCGGCAAGATTGCGCCTATACTTCTTCAGTAAGAACAACGAATTTCCGTTTTGGGAGATTGAGGTCGTGCCACTTGTGCTGACGAAAACGGAGGACAGATTTGGCGGGTATCAGCTTGGCGATGCCGATGTTCTGGCGCTAGCTGAAGGGCTCAAAGAGAACAAGTCGCTGTCATATCTCGAGTAAAGGGCGTCTTGCTTTGAACTGTTGCGTGGGTGTGGGTATTTCTAGCAGAGGGTACTCACTGGCTGCGAGGGGAAACTGACAGTCTGGACAGAAATCACATTACCGATGTTGGAGCGCTGGCTATTGCGAACGCGATCAAAGGGACCGTGCAGCTGGGTACGCTTTCGTGAGTCATTTCACTTTGACTGATGCATGCGAGTGGTGCTGCGGCAGAGGGCAATTCAGAGTGCTCACCGATGGAAGGGAACACGGACAGTCTAGCTGGCAATCAGATTGGCGATGCTGGAGCGAAGGCGATTGCAGCGGCACTCCAAAAGAACACGACGATAATCAAGCTCGTGTACGCATCTTACTTGTACTGATGCATGCGGTCGAGTGATTTCAGTACGGGCGTGAAAAGTGCTCACTGTTGGAGGGGGATGGACAGTCTGAGTCAGAATCAGATTGGCACTGCTGGAGCCCAGGCAATCGCTAAAGCTATCAAAGCGAACTCGACGCTGAAGTGTCTCGAGTAAGTTGCTGTGTGCTTTGCTGATCTTGAACATGGAGCCTAAAGGCCTTGTTGCTGTTTTGCTACACTGTACTCACCGGTTGAGCGACAGTTTGACTTCTAATTGCATTGGCAGTGCTGGTGTCAGAGCGCTTGCTCGAGCACACAAAGTCGACGGCACTCAACCTGCCATGTTGTAAGTTTTTCTTTTTGTCCTTGCAAACGGGAAAAAGGAACGCGATCTCTTGGAGTGGCTGCTGACTCTCTTCGTGTACCTTGATTGCTCGTTGCACAGCTTCCACAACCAGATACATCCTCTCGTATTCTCGCACATTTCACGACCCGCAAGGACTGACGACCGTCCGACCGTGCTTCGCTTGCTGACCGAGAGACCGGAGCTGGAGGACCAATCTGCACATCTCCCAGCCCTGCCAATCGAGATTGCCGACCTCATTTTGGACGAGGCGCGTTACTGGCAAGGCGTGCAGCAGTCCGAACGACTGTGGGATGACGATCAGGACACCACTTGTCTGCGCACCAAAGTTCCTCGGAGCATCCATGCCTATCCGTGCCATGTCAAGTTAATTCAAGTGTTTCGTGAATGGGATTCTCCCAAAAACGTTGGATCGGACGTTTTCGATGTGATCCTTCTCGATGAGGCAGGCGAAGCTCGATTCAAATGCACTGCGAAAGCGACTTCTCTCAACTCGACCCTTCAGCTTGCGACGTTCTCGCCAGCGAGTCATCCCGTCATCCGAGAAATGTGTGACGATTGGAAAGTTCAACTTTGTACTCCTGGATCTGGCGAGGATTTGCTGTGTGAGTGGATTAATGTCGGATACATCGAACGATCAAGTGAATAAAAGAAATGCATTTTCCCATATCCGTCAGGTGGACATCTTTCGCGACACATGAACGTGCGAGACACCTCAACGTGCAACGTCATACTCACTTGGAAGGAGCTGCCACTTGCACTTTCAACAGGCAGTGCGACTGCCGACCAAAGCATCGTTTTCCTCTTTTTGGTTTCTTTATGACTGCTTTCCTTTCATGCTTCCAATCGTCATCTAAACCTGTCATTCTCGTCTTTTGTCATTGTTTTTGGCCGCTTTCAGTTGTGTTTGTGTTTTTGCTCAGTCTTTGATTTCTCAAACACACACACACACACACACTACGCAATGTCCACCAGCGATCGCCTTGGTACCGTTTCTCTCCCTCTCACTCTCCCTTCCACTCCGCCTCTCTCTTTCTCTCTTTCTCTCTCTCTTTCTCTCTCCTTGTGTCTCTTCCTTGTTCCTGTCTCATCACACTTTACCCCTCCTCCCTCCCCTCGATCTTGACTTTGTTCCATGTGACAGCCGCCAACCTCAGCCGCCACTTCGCCCTCCTTCCCTCCTTCTCTTCCCTCCTTCTCTCCTTCTCTTCTCTTCCTTCTCCCTCCTTCTCTCCCCCTTCCCTCCTTCCCTTCTCTCCTTCTTCTTCTTCAGTGTCTGCCTTCCTTTCTTCTTTTTCGTTTTGCCTTTATTTTCCATGCTTGAACCACATGCGCTTTTTTGTTATTAATCCCACTGTGTCCACATCACTCTCTCTCCCCCTTCTACTCTCTCCCCCCTTCTACTCTCTCTCTCTCTCTCTCTCCCCCTTCTATTCCATCAATAACTGAAGCACTCAATTCTAAAATCCCGTCTATTTGAATTGGGTCATCGTCAAGTGAGAGACAGGGGTGGCGTGGTGGACGGACAGCAGACTCACAGTGCACTTCACTCACTCACTCCTTCACTCCTTCACTCACAACCTCACCATTCTGGATGAAACAAACAAACAAAACAACAGCTCTGCTCAGCGTCTCTGACAAGACCGGCCTCATCGAGTTTGCCACCAAGCTCAACGCAGTCGGATACAAGCTCGTCGCTTCGGGCGGCACGGCCACTGCCATCCGCAACGCTGGCCTCCCCGTTCGGTCAGTCAAACCACACTCAAAGAAAAAGCACACTTGTCATGATGGCACCACCACCCTTTTTGCTAACGCTTGTTGTTGTTGCTTTTTTTCATTCCCTCCACACAGTGATGTCGCTGAAATCACCGGCGCACCTGAAATGCTTGGCGGCCGTGTCAAGACCCTCCACCCCGCCGTGCACGGCGGCATCCTTGCCCAGAGCAACGCATCGGACGACAAGGACATGAAGGAGCGTGGCTATGCCCACATTGACGTTGTTGTCGCCAACCTCTACCCCTTCGAGGCAACCATCGCCAAGCCCGATGTCACGCTTGCTGACGCCGTCGAGAATGTCGACATTGGTGGTGTCACCCTGCTGCGTGCGGCTGCCAAGAACCACGCCCGTGTCACGATTGTCTGCGATCCCAAGGACTACGAGGCTGTTGCCGAATCGCTTGCCAGCGCCAACGCCGCCCCTTCCCTCGAGCTGCGTCAGAAGCTCGCCGTCAAGGTATGTCTGAAGTGTTGTGTTTGTTGTTGTTTGTGTGCGTGTGTGTGTGCACTTTTCGCGTCGAAGGGTGTATGATGCTCAAGATGCTCACCTCTTGATGTCTTGTGTGCTCTGGGGGGGGGCAGGCCTTCAACCACACTGCTCTCTACGACGAGGCCATTTCCAACTACCTCCGCCAGCAGTTCACTGGCAAGGGCGAGCAGCAGCTCACGCTTCGCTACGGCATGAACCCCCAGCAAAAGCCCGCCCAGGTGTTCAACAAGCACGGCAACCTCCCCTTCTCGGTCGTCAACGGCTCCCCCGGCTTCATCAACCTGCTTGATGCGCTGAACGCGTGGCAACTCGTCAAGGAGCTCAAGATCGCCACCGGCCTGCCCGCCGCGGCCTCCTTCAAGCACGTCAGCCCCGCTGGCGCGGCCGTCTACTCGCCCCTGTCGGCAACTGACGCCCAGCTCTGCATGGTTGACGACATGAGCGATCTTAGCCAGCTTGCTGTTGCCTACGCCCGTGCTCGCGGCGCCGACCGCATGTCGTCGTTCGGCGACTTTGTCGCCCTTTCGGACGTCTGCGACAAGTCCACCGCCTCCATCATTAGCCGTGAGGTTTCCGATGGTGTCATTGCACCCGGCTACACCCCCGAGGCGCTTGAACTCTTGAAGAAGAAGAAGGACGGCAAGTACTGCCTGCTGCAGATGGATCCCGCGTACGAGCCCCCGTCGTCGGAAACCCGCCAAGTCTATGGCCTGTCTCTTCAGCAGGGTCGCAACGCCACCCCCATCACCAAGGACCTGTTTGCCAACGTCGTTTCCGCAAACAAGGCTGTAAGAGCGATGCAGAGTTTTTTTGTGTGTCGAACTGCAGGCTGGAAATTGTTTTTGTTAAATTCTCTGACTTTTTGTTGTCTTGTCTGTTGTCGTTGTTCAGCTGCCTGAGAACGCCGTCCGCGATCTCCTTGTTGCCACCATTGCCCTCAAGTACACCCAGTCCAACTCGGTGTGCTACGCTCGCGACGGTCAAATCGTCGGTCTGGGCGCTGGCCAGCAGTCTCGCATCCACTGCACCCGCCTTGCTGCCGAGAAGGCAGACAACTGGTGGCTCCGCCAGCACCCCAAGGTGCTCGGCATGAAGTTTGCCAAGACCACCAAGCGCGCAGACCGATCGAACGCCATCGACGTCTACGTTCGCGGCGCCGTCGGCCAAGACATGGAGGTTGCCGCCTTCAACCGATGCTTTGAGGTCGCACCCGAGCTCCTCACTGCCGACGAGCGCAAGGAGTGGCTCACCAAGTTCAGCGGTGTCTCGCTCAGCTCGGACGCCTTCTTCCCCTTCCGCGACAACATTGACCGCGCCCGTCAATCGGGTGTCGCCTATGTTGCCTCGCCCAGCGGCTCGGTGCAAGACGACATTGTCATCCAGGCTGCGAACGAGTACAACATGGTGATGGCTCACCACACCCTGCGTCTCTTCCACCATTAAAGTTCCTGCAGTTCCATCTCTCATCTAACTTGCGGCACTACGGGATCATTCCAGTGCCTGCCTTGTTTGGGGGACCCTTTCGTTATTGCTGTTATTCTTTTCATTTTGGGCATCTGATTTGTGCTTGCATTCAATGTCCTTGTTTTTTTTTTTAACAAATCCAAAATCTTTTATACACTGTACTCTTATTTTTGCAAAGTGGACAGTAGTTGTGACTTGTTGACTTTGCCTCAAGTTGGAACGTGGACCATTTCTCAGTCATTCAGTCCATCAGTCTTCTTAGTGTGTGCAGCATGCGCAAACGAGCACCCGTCGACTCGGATTCGACCGACGATGATCATCCGTCTAATGTTGCTGCAGCTGTCCGAAAACGTCGCCAAAAGGCAATCCTCACCGATGACGACGACGGCAACGACAACGACGAGGAAGAGGAGGAGGAGATGAAACGCACGCGCCAAATCCCGGCTCAGACCAGCGGCAATCCGCGCTCAGCAGCCGATAGTGACTATGATGATGATGATGATGATGATTTGGCCGCAAGTAGCAGCAGTCGACCAGTGACGCGTGCACGCAACAAGAACGAGACTGGACGCGCTGCAGCGAAGCGTGCTGATCCCCAAGAAATGGCGCCAAATAAGCGCGCCACAACGCGAGTCGTGAACAATGGCCGAGCACAAGCCACTGCCGCTGCGACCGAGACGACGAACGCAGATGCCATTGCCCGTAGTCACGCTGCGGAGGCGACGCGCGGTCTGCGGGCGGAGGACTTTGCGTTTGCCTCGGCGTCGTCGGATGATGACGACGAAGAAGACGAGCCGTCGACGCCCAAGCGGAGCCAGCGCGGATCGCCAAGACACTCGCCAAGACACTCACCAGGATCATCGCAGTCGAGATCATCGCAGAGTCGCTTGCCGAGCTCAAGCGGGCGAGCCGTTCACACGAAAACAGTCACGTCGTTCGTGCCAATGTTCAACTCGTACAATCGCGAGCGGGAGGACCGCGAGGATGCAAGCGATGTCGACTTTATTGTCAGCGACGAGAGCGACGAGGATGGCTCAGGCAGTGACAATCATGCAAGCAGTGAGAGTTCGGGCGAGGGCGATGCACAAGGTTCGAGTCCCAACGACGACGGCGACGACGAATCACCGCCCACAAAGCGGCGCGGCAAGCCTGTCGCACGGCGAGTCACTGTCCCTAAGAACGTGGACAATCGCACGAGAGAGGACGATGAGGCGGCGAGCGATGACAGCTCGAGCCAAACTGATGAGAGCCGCCAAGAACCCGCTCCAGTTCGTTCCGGCGCTCGGCGGCGGCGCGCATCACAGCAAGACCATAGCGTTGCCTCACAAGAGCCTTCCAAGACGAAAGAGCACCCACCGGAATTCTCTCCCGTCGTTCGTCGAAAACGTGTCATCCTTGACGACGATGATGAGGATGCTGGTGCCGATGGCAATGAGAACGGCAATCCCGCAATGTTGGACACCCCGACAACCGAATCTAGTAAGCGCAATCGGCACGGTACGCCTGCGTCGACAGGCCGCTCTCAGTCGCCAACCGAGCTCTCGCCTGCCACTCGAGGAACCAAGCGCCCTCTGTCGCAGCAGCCATCACAGCGCTCACACTCGGGGAGGGCAGCATCGTTGCATCGACATCGCGATGATGAAAGGGCTGCCGCCCTTGCTCGAGTTGCAGCTCGGAAAGCGGGAACTTTGAGCGTATTTGAAGCGTCAGCCCTCGCTCTGGTCGAGGAGGGCACTGTCAGCAAAACCCTCGGTCACGATCCAAGCCTTGAGATGGATGCGAGCGATGATGAAGCTGAAGACGATGAGGACGACGCCTTTGTCGTGAGCGACGACGAGGAAGTCCAATCTGCCGAAGTCACCGAGTGCACGTGCGGCTCAAGTGCAGATTACTCCGGGCTTATGGTCTGCTGCACGGGACGAATGTGCCGAGTAAGTCGTCGATTCGAGTTGCTTGGGTTTTTTTTTTTTTGTTCTCTTGCTCTCTGTTTGTCTTATCACCAATGCCGCATTTGCTCACTCGTCCGACTATATCTTCTTCTTTGACACACTCAGAAATGGCAGCATGCAGCCTGTGTCAACATCATTGATGAAGATGACATTCCTGACAACTACAAGTGCATGCCATGTCGCCTAACGGCGGCCGGGCTCTCCGCCAGTTTGGCAGAGCAACCGTCTCACGCAGCCAAACGAAGACGGATTGTGGACGATGGATCCGATGGATCCGATGACGACAATCCGTCTGCAGCTCAGCCCAGTCAATCTACGACGCCGCTGGAGCAACTTGAATACCATCATAGCTTCCGCGCCGCTGGTGCCCGTTTGTACCGCGCCTGTCAGGCTGGAGACGTTGTCCGCGTCAAAAAGCTGCTTGAATCGTCAAGTGTGCGTGACGCTCATGCAATCAACTACTTTGCTCACGAAGAAGCCAACATGACCCCATTCATTGCCGCTGTCAGTGGAAATCATGTGGAAGTCGCTCGGCTATTGCTTGACACTGCGCTTGTTCGGACCCAGTTGTGCACGCTCTCGAATCAAACTGCGCTTCGAGTTGCCATCAAGAGCGGCGATTCCAGCATGTGGGAGCTGCTGAGCTCGCGAACGTTGCGTGCGACTGAGGTGCACGACGACCTTCTGGACTTGGCGGCGGGTGCCCCCACCACCATTCCTCTTCAACGTCTGCTCGAGCGACGAGGGCAATCACCGGCCGCAGCGTCATCCGGGACGTTGTCACAAAAGCCGCTGAACAATCCCCAGGCTCGTACATTGTGGAGACTGCTCCAAGTAGCGGCGGCCCAGGGAAGCTTGGCGTGCGTCGAATTCTTGCTGGGATTTCCCGAAGTGTGCACAGTCACCACCCACCTGTGGCAGGCGAGCGAGGCTGGCACGCTAGGCTCGCAGCTCGATCGTGAGCAGCGCCGAATGACAACGACGCTTTTGGCCGCGCAGAAAACGCACAGTCGCAACTGGCAGCGCGATCAAGAGAGTATCGAGGCGGCCTTGCCGTTCTTGACCGACCAAGCCCAGGCATCCACGTCCAGCTCTAGCTCTGGGCGGCATGCCGTGACATTTTCAGATTCGGGTGTTGTTACGGCATCACAACCAGCCACATCTCCCGTTCGGCGACTCGACGACCGCTCGAACAGGCGAGCTGCCGTTTCCTTGGCTTCCATCCTCAATGAACAGAGTCGCGCGTTGGGTGTGTTGGGTGGCCGCTCGCCTGCACCTGATCGTGAGTTGCCGAACGCTGCCGTCAATCGTCGCGTCAACCAGTCTCGCCAGCGCCTGGCGCCCCCGTCAGCCGCATCACCGTCCTCTTCACCAAGCAAAGTGCAGCCAGTTCAGCGTGCGATTCAGCCTCTCGCCGACACAGGACATGTTATTGTGCGGTTGGGCGACTCGGATGATGGCGAGACGCTCGTCCACCAGGCCGTCCTCTCTGGGCAAGTCAACGTGCTGACAGTCATCTTGGATGCCCTTCCCCCGCAGTTTTTGTTCTTTGCGGATGACGATGGCATCACCCCCTTGTGGCTCGCCTGCTCCATGGGTCATTCGGACTGCGTGCAAGAGATTGCCAGTCGGATTATGGCACAGCGTGCCGGACTTGAGCCGGACATTGCCGAAGTCCAGTTTTCCACTTCCAACTATCCCGCCTCGGTGGCGCTCGACTCTACCAAGGCGCTTTTACATCCGCTGGTGTGTTGCGATGTGCACGGCACGACCGCGTTGCATTGTGCGGCCGCCATTGGCTCCCTGCCCTGTGTCGAGACTCTTCTCTGCAGCGGGCATCCAGTGTACTTGCTGGACGAGAACGGCTGGACGCCGCTCTTGTATAGCGTTTTCAAAGAACGCAAAGACTGCATCCGGCCGCTGATGCGCGCCATGCCCGCGCAGCTCAAGCTGCTGACGACGCTGATCCATCCCAATAGTGGCAGCAGCAGTCAATGGCGCGCAGCAAGACCGACGGATGATGCTGTATATGCGGCTACGCGAAATCAGGCAGTGGTTGCTCGATGTGTCACGATGCTTGCCGAAGTGCCCGAGTACTATGCCCTGATTAATGCGTTTGTGGCCAGCGAGTCTTCCCTGTTGGATAGTACTTTGCAATTCCTGGTCACGCGCTACCCGACATGCTTGACGATGGAGAACAAGCTCGCGTGGATGTATCGACAGCTCAATCTTCGTCGGCCTGGTCAGAGCTGGCTGCTCAAGCTCGACCGCTCGCATCTACTCGACAGCCTTTCAGAAGGCTGTCATACCTTCCAGTCTGCGTTTGGTCTGCAAGTCTCAGTGCCCAATGTGCAGTTCCGCGGCGAGCCGGCAACAGGTTGGGGACCGCGTCGTGAAATGTTTGCTCTCCTGGCTGGAGAGGTCATCCGGCCAGACTATCAACTGTTCTCTGTGATTGACAAGGGTCGCGATGCAGCGGCGTCCTCGGCTCAGGCCGCCAACAACAATGTGGACCAGGGACAGGACGGCGCAGCCATTGTTCCAGTCTCTGCATTCGCCCTGTCCATGGACCCCAACGACAAGACTCTTCGGCATCGACGCATGTACTCCATTGGATTGGCCGTTGGATATGCAATCGCGACCAAAGAGAACATTCCAGCCACCTTCTCGTCTGCGTTTTGGAAGCTGGTTCTCGGCAAGCCGGTTGACTTGGACGATCTGGACACGGTAGATCCGGCATTGTCCAAGAGTCTTTCGTGGCTTTTGAGCCAGGACATTGCTGGGATGGAGAACGATTTGGCAATGATGTTTTCGGTGGACGTGGAAATTCGTCTTCCAAACCCTACGAGTCGAGTGTGCGCCCCCACCACCAACGTTGCCGACGAGGTTGAAGGATTGTCCGATGATTCCTTTGACTACGACCCAGACTGGGACTCTTCTTTGTCGGTCTCGGTGGTGGAGACCAATCGCTCTATAGTGCGTGTTAATGGCAGCGGTGCGTCGTCATCCGACCCTGTCCACAATCCCGCCGACCCCTTCCCGGGGCACGCAAGTTTTGTGAACAACGCGGGCACCATGCGCACTTTCAACTTGTGCCCCAATGGATCCCAGACCCTTGTCACGCAAGCCAACAAGCACGAGTTTGTTCGCGCGCGCGTGGACTTTGCCTTCAAAGGCCTCCGTGAGGCAGCGAGCGAGTTTGCCAGGGGTCTCTATAGCATCATTCCGCACCCAAACTTGGCAGTGTTCTCATCTGGCGAGCTTGCTCTGCTGGTCGCCGGATCGTCGAACATTGATGTGGATGATTGGCAGCAACACACAAAGTACGGCGATCAGCTGTCCGCCACGATCATTGAATGGTTTTGGGCACTTGTTCGCGACTTGTCACAGAGCGAGCGCTCGCTACTGTTGCAGTTCTCGACTGGAATGTGCCGCCTGCCGCCCGGTGGGTTTGCCAATCTCTCTGCCATGCACTCGCAAGGCGGTCAGTTTACCCTGTCTTCATTGCCCGAGGATGGTAGTCATTTACCTCGCGCAGCCACCTGCTTTAATCTGCTACAACTGCCGGCGTACACGAGTGAGACTGAATTGCGACAAAAAGTCTTGATTGCGATTCGTCACGGGTGTGGCGGTTTTACGTTTGGCTGAGCTTTTTTCTTCTCTGTCATCTTGTCGTTTTGATTTGTTTGTTAATTTATTTTGTGCTGTGCTGTTTTATTTATTTCCTCTGTTGTTTGAAATAAACAAGCGGTCTTTTATTTGATGCTTCAATAAAAGTTCGACGCAACATCAACAACCACTACTGGCTGGGTACTGTACAACAACGAAATAGTGAGACGTGTAGCACTCTGACAATGCCTTAGCAGGTGTAGGCATAGTACTCGCGCTTGGCCGCTTCGGTGGTCTTGCGAGACGTGACAAGCTTGCGCTTTGCTTCGCCGCTGTAGAAGAGATTGACCGGAGTGGTGCTCATGGTCGCAAGAGTTCGGACAATGCCATCGGGCAGCTTGGTTTCACGAGTGGATTTTGCAGTGCCAAAGAGCACGCTGGACATCTCCGCGGTGTCGGCCTTGCCAGGGGTTGCCAGAGCCTTTCGGGACTTGCGGGAATACTCGGAAATGGCCTGATCGAGGTCGTGCGTTTCGCCGACAAACGTTGCATGCTCTTCCATTTGAGCATCTGTCTTGGCACACACGCGCATGAGACGCTCTGTGCCAGAGAGCAAGGCACGAGCTTGACTGAATGCAGCGTTTTGAGCCAGCACCGAGCCGAGTTGAGCCGCAGCAAGGGACATGGTCGAAATCACCAGTCCGTTGCGGGCAACTTCCACGTCTGATGTGATTTCGCGGCGGGCGGTGATGACTCGGAGACACTTGGCGCCGTCCAGTCGAGTGAAGCGAATCTGGGCTTGGAAGGTTGTGTGCGCGCCCAGCTGCTTGGCAGGCACAATGTTGCGAAACATGAAGGCTCGGTCGCACTCCCGCAAGGCATTGCCAAGCTTGATCACGGCTGTCGATCCACTCTCTGGCGCATTGACGCCGTCGAACTGGATGCCCGGGCTGGAGCGGAGGGTGATTTCGACATTGTTGGCCACGATCGGGTTTTGGGAAATTTTGCGCATTTCGCGAACAATCTCCACGGGGTGGAGCACATTCACTGTGCCCGACGTCATTTTTGCGCACGCGGACAAGTGTTGCAAGCCACAGTCGGTGCCGGAAATGCCGAGGAGAGAGATGGTCGTGTCTTGCTCGCGGGCCAGCTCGCCGATGCGCGTGTAGAAGGCAGCAGCAGCTAACGGATCAGCGGCACCATCAATGGCACCGAGTCCAACGTTGGGGATGCCGTCCGTGCACAGCACGACTTCAGAGCCTGGAACGCGGCCAGCCATGCCAACAGCAACTGCAAGCGCAGGACCGAGGGCCGTCGCACCCGATTCTTCCAGACCCTCGACTTTGCGCTTGAGCTGGGCCAGCGACTTGGAGATTGGCTCGACCTTCTCAGCCAGAGAGTGGCCAGCGTCCGTGAGCGTGGCAAAGCTTTCCAGCTTGGACCCAGTGACAGTCTCTGGGATGTGCGTCAAGCCATCGCCAATCACGACGACCTCGCTGCTGAAAACAACCAGCACCACACGACGGTTGGGGTTTTCGTCGTGGATGCGCTGCAGATTGCGCGATACGGCTTCTTGGATGCACTGCAGGCGGCTCATGTACTTTGCACCGCGAGTCTCTCCGGGGAGGTACTGGTCGGCGGACACGGGCGCGTCCGAGCCAGTTGTGGTGCGGGCTGCACGCCATTCACTTTGAAGGCGGGGCAGTTCGGTCGTGACGCACATGGAGCCGCTAATGTCGAGGCAGTACACGACCAGCGACGTGTCCTGCGACTGGGACATTGAGGGGGCGACAGACTCGAGAATGTAATCGACGGTGGGTTGGTCTGGAACTTCGCCAGCATGGATGTTGGCGTTTTCGTGGCCGCAGAACTCGCTGTACAACGAAAGGAGTGTTAGAGAGGATTGGCATCGTGGATTTGTCATTGTTGACAATAATCCAATCGTTTTGGCAAACTCACCACTTCCAGACGGCCTGCTTGGCAGACTTGTTGCTCAGGGTCAGCGTTGACAGGCTTGAAAGCACGCCGTGGCAGCCAGCGCACTTGACAGGATCGCCCGTCATGATTTCCGCTGGCTCTGCAAGTGAGCCAAGCGAGAGCATGCCAACGTTGGTCGACATGATTTCTGCCTGTCGAACAACAGCGGGGCGAGGCGGTGCAACGACAGTCTCAGACTCCTTGGACGCAAAGCAATTGAAAAGTTCCTGCAAAACCGCTGTGGCAGTGTATCATCCAGCAGTCGAGGGGGAAACACCCAAACAGGTTTGGAAATGTGAGCTTTGATTGGATGTATGTCGTCGTGTTCGTCAACGTCAGTCCAGCAGCAGAGGCGCTTAGCTTACACTTGCTCTTCGGTCGACCGGCAGCCCGACGCGCGGAAGGGGCTGCATGTCGTAGCCCGGAGATGACACACTGCTTGCGGTAAGAATCCTCGATCGTGGGGTCGTACTCATCCACAAAGTGATGTTGGATGAATTGAATGGTCAGGGCGGACTTGCCAACACCGCCGTCGCCGAGAACGACAACACGGTACTCTACACCCTGGCGCGGTGTGTGACGCACAAGCTCAAAGAAGCTCTCTTCGACGTTCAAGCGCTTTTTCGCGGACGTCTCAAAAAACGCTGCAGCACCCATGCGCTTGGCCGCTGCAAGACCCTCTTCGCGAGTAACCTCTCGGTCGGAGGCCAAGTCACACTTGTTGCCGACCAGAACCTAGTTGCAAGAATTGTTCCAGGGCAAGAGTAATGTGAGAAACGTGCAGCTGTTTGTTTTTGATGGAGATGAGCAAAAAAAAGCAGTGATCGTCACGTACAACCGGAATTTCGTCCGTGTCTCGGATTCGCAGGATAAAGTCGCGCATGAGGCAAGCAGAGTCGAACGACGAGCGAGAGGTGACAGAGTAGACCACCAGGAAGCAGTCGCCCACGCGCATGTACTGCGGCAAGGAGGGTTGATTTTTTGGCAACCAAAAGGTGAGCCACGACTTTGGCTTCTCTTGCGATGTGTCAATAACATGTATTACTCACCTGCTCTCGCATGGAGCTGTACTCTTCTTGGCCAGCGGTATCAAGAATGTCCAACAAGCAAGTCTGTTTCAAGCCAACAAGAACGAAACAAAGAGAACGCTCACGTCAGAGTTGATCTTTTCGAGGACGTTTGGTCGAGGCGCTCCAATCCCTGTACCTCGCCATCGTCAACGCGGTTGCGACGAGAGACGGTGACCAGATCTTGTTCTTCTAGAGATGCATCAATGTCCTCGAAAAGCGGAGCGGCCGAGCTGGTTGCATGAACGTAACGCGAAGCAAAGAACATGGTGTTTTTGTTGGTTTTTGTTTGGTTTCGGTTGTGAATTCGGTTGTGAAGAAGTAGACCAGAGGAAATCGAGGTCCAATGTTAATGGATGGAGTGTTTCAAGCAAGTTCGAAGCGTCCACAGTGTTTGAGGAAAAATGGAGACTGAACAGGCAAAGGACGCAACGATGGCTGTTTTTGTACTGGACGCGAGCCCAAAATAACTCTCAACAAAGCCATCTCAGTTTTAGGTTTATTTCTGGCCTGCTGCTCCTTTCAGGTATTTCGTCCCAACTTGCATCGCATCGGTATGCGTTCGGGCTTTCGGTGTAACTAATAAACAACAAAACAAAAGCTGGTTGCCTGGAGATTGCGCGTTGCGGCGAGAGGAAAAATGGGGGGCGAGAACGCACTCAATCTGCGCTTTCTCGCTTTTGCATTTGATGAAAGCATGAAAGTGTGTGATAAACCCTGTGGTGAATGATTAGATGATGTGGGTGATGATTGAAAAAAAAAAGTCGAAAGCAGCAAAAGGGAAGCACGAGATCGCGGCACACGCAGGGTAACGCGCAGCTCACGCTCGGTTTTGAGTGTGAGCAGACGCGGCGGCAGCTCTTGGCGGGCGGCAGAAATATTTAAGACAGCAGTGTTGTTTCTTTGTTTCGATGAAGCATGTTGCTGGTGCTCGTGCTATCCAGGCAAATGAACTGCAGCAACAAATCAACGATTTATGCGCAAGGGCAAAGTTGCATTATGGGTTAGCATGTTTTTTTGTCTGATTGCGGCTTGGTATGAGGGCCGGTTGCAGGCCAAATAGTCCATGTATGTCTGTGTGTTGAGATTCAGTGTATATTTAGTGCATGCGAAGGCGTAGAGCGCGAGGGAGACGAAACAGAAAGTGCAAATCATCAAAATTTTCGTCGTCTGCCGCTTGTCGACCTCGTATCGCTTCGTGCGTCGTTCTGGATGCACCGGTTAGGGTACAGTTGTAGCGATTGGTGTGTCTAGTATTCGAAATGCACCGGTGGTGGTCGCGAAATCCAATAGTAGGCGTTGTCGGAAAGATCGATTTCAATAGCGTTGGCAGGCCACAATTACGCCCTCCAAACCAATTGTCTGAAGGCGACCGGTCATTCTCAAACCAACAACCAAAAACCTTACAGTCTAGTATTCCATGCCAACCTTGAGGTACAACAAGAAATACATACAAACAATTTTATCAAGCAGAGACGTGTGCAAAAACCCCTCGGGAATACGCTCAGACTCGCGTCAGAAATGGCACCAAAATTATCGCGACCGTCTCACCTAACGGTACAACGTAATCCAGCCTGTCTCACTAACAATGGTCAATGAATTATATTTACAGTACAATGCCGCCGAGTGCGGAGCGGACATGTCCAATACTAACTCGCTCTGTTGGCTTGCGACAGACCAATTGGCAACGCACAATTCTGAAATTTGTTCTTGGTCAATCCTCAAGCAAAATCACCACAAGTCACTATGTGAATACAAAAATAACAAACACACTCAATATAAACCACAGTCCTACTATCAAATCGACTGCGACTTGCAACACGCAATACAAAGCACACAACGCAACGATGCGCACCGTGGTGCCGTTCATTCTCGTGGCCATCCTCGTCGCCGTCTCCGTGGTTGACAGTCAGCCCCAGCCCCACGAACGGCAGCGACTAGAGCCTGTCGCGTACCGATTCGATGCCGAGCACGATGGATCCGAGCTGCTGGAGGGAGTGGACATCGACCTTGACACTGACGAGGTCGACATGAGCCGGTTTGACAGAAGCAGCAGCAGCAGCTCTGCAGCGTTCGATCTGGACGACGACGGCGAGGAAATGCACATGGACATCTACTACGATGAAGCGAACGGCGTGTACGTGGACGCGCATGGCAACCAGCTGTTCACCCCCGCAGAGATGGAAGCGCTTCAAGCACAGTTCGACAATGCGCTCGAGAACGAGGAGGCTGCATACGCCTATCACACCACGACGTTCGAAGGAAATGCACCCATACCCTCTGAAAATGTTTACTTTGAAATTCTAGACCCTCCAGAAATCGCCTACATGTACACTGGAGTCATTTCGTTCAACATTGGCGTGGACTTTGTAAGTTGTCGCGGCGCCCGTGTTTCAGGATGGTCTCCAGTGCCTCACATTTTTTTTTGTTATTGTTGTTGTTGTTGTTGTTGTTGTCATTCGGTGGATATCGCCAAACAGGAGTTTATGCTGGATCCGGCATACCTTGTGCTGAGCGAGCCTTACGACGCATGTCAGCCGCTCAATGGCGAACAGTTCCACGACGCTGTTGTGATGGTTGAGCGAGGGTAAGCATGTCTTGCGTCGTCTAGTGGTCCCCACATCTGATGTGCACTCATTTCACAGCAATTCGCTTTGCAACAACAACAACAACAACAACAACAAAACAAAAAACCAGGACTTGCTCCTTTATCGAAAAAGCAATCAATGTGGCGAGTGCAGGTGCTGCCGCCATGATTGTTGCTGACAACGAGCCTCCAGAAGACTCGATACTCGTTGACATGGTTTCGGACGACGGACGACTGGCGAGCATACCGTGTGTCTTCATCCAAACACAAGACGGGTGAGTTTATCAAACGGAAAAAAGTGTCTGTTGTGTAGTTTTTTTTGATTCTTTGCTCATTCTGATTTTCGCAACGACTGTCACCACCGTGACCCTATGTGCCACGAGCAAAGAGCGAAAATCCGAAACGCAATATACCAGCACGGTGTGTCTGGCGTTCCAATAACAATACCGCTCAACATTACAATGCAAACCCAGGAGGCCTTCGTCGACTCGTTCGTGCCATGGGCCCCTCTGTTGTAGCGTTTGGAGTGAGTCTGTTTCTGTACCAGCTGTTGTAGCACTCTACTAACTGCGGGTTTTGTCAGGTTTGTTTTTTCCAAAGTGTCTATGTTTTAAAAATTGACGATTTCACACTCCTCTCACAGAAGCCTTTTATTTTTTTCTTTCTTTTCACACCATTGAGCTCCGTTCCTTCATCCGATCGCAGCAATGCAGAGCGACATCTCCCCTTTCAACCATCCCCCCCAAATCACAATCCGAGGTGTGACTGGGTTTTTTTTCTTGTTGTGTTTGATCACGTTGCGGATGATTCACCACCTCATTCCTGATTTTTATTGTTTGGTCCAATTGTAAGTCCAAAAACAAGAAAAAAAAAAAAAAAAGACAATGGTTCGTTCGTTTGTGCGTGTGCTCTGCATGGCGTTCGTCCCCTGCTCGTCTGCCTGCTTCGAACGGCGGGAAGAAGGCGGACGGGAAAGTTCTGTCCCCCGGGGGTCCATGCGACAGCGCGAGGCGAGTGCGGGGAATCTGAAAGCCTCGCGGAAGCGGTTTGGTGCCCACAACAAAATTCGGTTTGAAAAAAAAAAAAAAAGAAAAAAAATAACAATCAAATAAAATAATCAACATTGTGGTTTTGCGCAAAAAAAAAGGGCAGAGACGAACAACCGTCGCAGCGCACACAGAAGCGACCCTCAATGCGCACAAAATGGAGGGCGTTTCGACGCAAGTCACAAACGACAAGCGATCGCGAACGGCGCTCAGCGGCGCGGCGATTGGACAAAAACAGAACGCAAAAGTAGAAAAAAAAAATGACAAAAACTGAATATCAAAAAAAAAAAAAAAAAAAAAAAAAAAAGGAAAAAAAAAGAAAAGAAAAGAACGGGGAAAAAACAGCAAGCAGCAAGCAGCAAGCGGGGTGGGGTTTGCAAACAGAGCAGAATCACCGTCAAAGCACCAAAACAGCAACCACCCTTCAAGCGTCTCGCTTTTACCTCCCATGCCCGGAGTGCACAGAAGCGAGATCGTGCGTCCCAAAACAGCGGAAAATCGCATCAACAAATTGGATGTTTTGCGGCAATTTTCTTTCTTTTGTGTTGTTTCGTCGTTCTTCGATGACGTGCTGACGTTTGAGGCTCTGTCGCGAGGCTCGGATGAAGGCACACAAATATACACATTCAAACAATCTCGCTCAGCGTCGTCGCTGAATGTTGCTCGTTCGGAGGATTGAAATCCTTGACGAACTTTTTTATTCACCCGTTTTTGTTTACTTGTGTACAGTGATTGGGATCTGATAGAACCCCCCTTTCCTCCCTCCCTCCGTCCTGTCGTCTGACTCGCTCGGAGCCGTCCCTCAGTGGAAAAAACAACCATCTCTCCTTTTCCCAAAGCTCGTTCAGCTGTGAGACCGACAACAAGACAACAAGCGCAAGAAGGCGAAATCAGTTGTTGGAGTCGCGGGTTCAAGCAAACCACCTCCGAAAAGCTCAACGAAAAACTCAACCGCAATATGCGCACTACGATGCCAATGCTGTGGGCGCTAATTGCTGCACTCGCAGTCGTAGCATTGCCGCTTGCTCAGCATGCGCGGGCCGCAGAATGCATGTGTAACGACCAGGACTTTCGCTGCTCGACCAACTGGGTGACCAATTGTGCCAATTCATGGGCGCAGTGCGACAATGGCTACACGAGCATCAAAACTGGCTCAAAATGCACCATTACGAAATCAACCTACTACTGCTTCCCCAACACAAATCCAGCGTGCTGCGCGGGATACGCCACAACCACATGCACGGCATGCGTGGCAGGGTACCAGTGTCCAGGCGGCACAAACGGACCCACATCCGCGTGTGTCGCGGGCACCTACTCTGGTGCAAAGGCCGCGACATGCAGTCAGTGCGCAGTCAACACGTATCAGGCGGTGGCTGCACAGACCAGTTGCATCAACTGCCCAAGCGACTCGTCAACGCTTTCCCTTCAAGGAAAGACGTTCTGCACATGCTCCGAAGGCTACTACGCTGGGTCACTCGGCACAAACTCCATGACGTGTACAAAATGCGAGACTGGCTACAGCTGCTCGAACAATGTTCGCACAATCTGTCCAGTTGGCTACGTCCAGCCCACCATGGGACAGCCCTCCTGCTTGCCTTGCGCTCCTGGCTCGTACCAGCCCAGCACTGGCCAAACGACCTGCATCAACACCGTGGCTGGCCAGTACCAAGATCAGCAAGGCCAGTCAGGTTTCAAAACCTGTCCCGCTGGCACCATGCAGCCAAGCAACGGCCCGGCCTCGAGCTGCACAAACTGCACAGTAGGCAACTACCAAGACCAGCCAGCCTCTGCCAACTGCAAACCCTGCCCGGCGTCCTCGACCTCAACCCCGCGAGCTTCTCTGTGCACGTGCAATTCTGGATACTACATGTCGGGTGGAAACTGCGTGCCCTGCGAGATTGGATATCGCTGCCCCGGCGATAACTCGCGATACGCTTGTCAGACCAACCAATTTCAGAACATGACTCAGCAAGCCTCGTGCAAACCGTGCCCCAGCGACTCGACCAGCTCAGCTGGTGCCTCGGTATGCGCTTGTTCGAGTGGACGCTACCTCTCGTCCGACTGGCTCTGCGCGGCATGCCCAGCCGGCAGCAGCTGCTTGGAGAATGTCCGCACTCCCTGTATCGCTGGCAAGTACCAAAACACGACACTGCAAAGCAGCTGCAAGACGTGCCCCAGCTACAGTACGTCGTCGGAGGGCTCGACTCTGTGCACGTGTTCCGCTGGAAGATACAGCGCTGGCTTTGATGCTTGTCCTGCTTGCCAGCCCGGCTACATGTGTCCCGGGGACAACTCTCGTTCTGCATGTGCGATCAATACTTACCAGGCCAATCCAACTCAGTCCGCCTGTGTCCCTTGCACGAGCAACTCTGCATCGCCCGCAGCTGCCGTCACCTGCGCTTGCAGTACCGGATATCGCGAGGCGGGGTCGGGCGATTCGCTCACGTGCACGCAACTGGGTGCCATCAGCGTTGCGGAAGCTAGCCAAAGTCTCGTGGCTGCATCGGGTGACACTGTTACGCTGACGTTTGACTCGACGTCGTTCAATTTCAACGCCTCTTGCATCGTCTCGGTCGACACGACAACCTCGACCGCACATGCTGGTGTGCACTACATCATCCAGTCTTCGCTCAACCTCACGTTTTCGAATGAAACCGGAAACGTGGCGACCATCACCATTGTCATTCCAACCACGTCCGCCGAGCGCAGTGGCGCTGATTTGTATTTGACAATCAGCTCGGTATCGCTGGCACTGCTGGGCAGCAGCAAGACTGCGCACATTGCAATCCAAGGAGCCAATCTTCCAGGCGGTCTGATTCAATTTGCTGCAGATTCCCGCTCGCTAGTCATCGATGGATATTCTTCTTCCACTGTTGCCCTCAAAGTCGAGCGCTTGCAGGCGGCAGCTGGCACTGCCACGTTCTTCATTTGCGAGAGTAGTACCGGAGCTTGTGCCAGCTTTGATTTTGCAGCCGCTCAAGTTCTCGCCACGGTGTCGGTCGCAATCCCACAACCCTTCGAGCCTTCCCTGGCGCGACAATTGTCGTTTGTTATCGTCAATGTCACCAGCTCAACCTCTGCGGACGTTGGCGGCTATTCCACCGCCATCCTGACCGTGAGAGAAACCTGGGACGCACACGGCGTGTTCTCGTTCAGCTCCGCGTCGTACAACTGCACAGAAGCGGCTGGATTGGTCGACGTCGTCATCTCGCGGTCGCGAGGCCTTTTTGGCACCGTTCAAGTGAACATTGGTACGCTGCTCTATCCCTCGGGATTGGCCAACTCGGATGATTTTGTCGCGCCGTCAAACCCTGTTATTTTTGGCGACGGCATTAACGAGGTTGCGGTTAGCATTGGCATTGTTGCCGATGGCATCCCGGAGGTGGACGAATCCTTTTCGGTGGTCTTGAGTCAGCCCGCCAACGGCGCTTCGCTGTCGACCGCCTTGCCAACGACTGCCACCGTGACCATTGCGCAAAACGACGATGCAAACGGCGTAATTCAGCTGCAGCAGGCTGCGTACACGACAAGCGAGTCTGCCGGCCAAGTACTGCTCACAGCGGTGCGCTCTGCTGGTAGCTTCGGGAGCGTCAGCTTCACCGTTTCCACCACCGCTGGATCAGCCACTGCTGGCTCTGATTTCCAACCGCTGGCGTCAAGTGTATTCACCATGGGCCCTGGCGTCACCACCGTTTCAATCCCTGTGACTATCATCAACGACGCGGTGCCTGAATTGGACGAGACGTTTAAGGTGACGATCAACCATGAAGTGACCGGCGGTGCACGCGTCGGAGCGTTGACCGAAGCAACCGTCACCATTTCCCAAAACGATGATGCACACGGTCTGTTCGCCTTTGCTGGCGAGGACGGGCTGGTTAGCAGCGATCCTCGTGTCGTCACTTCAGGCAGTTCGTTTGTCGTCGCGGTAGCGAGACTGGGTGGCCTTTATGGCTCTGTGTCTGTTCGTCTCCAAACCGACTTTGCCTATCCAGGCGAAGCAACCAGCGCTGACGTGTCTGTCGACAGAGTATTGACTTTTGCCGAAGGAGAGAGTCTCCAGAACGTGACCATCAGTGTCGCTCTCCCGGCTAGCGCTCGTCCAGCTTATCGGTTCAACCTGGTGCTGGGGACGAGCACTGGAGGCGCGTCTATTCAGTTGTCTGCAGCTCAGTCGTACTTCAAGATTGATGCCTACTCGTCCGTCGGAGGCGTTGTCCGATTCGTTTCCAGCGACTACTCTGCTGACGAAGGATCGATCACCACCCTTACTGTCGAACGTGTGCCCGCCGACGCTTCATCCACCGAAACGCTGACCGTTCAGTTCCGCGCAAACTTTGCGGCGGAAGGCCCTTCTTCGGCCAGCGCTGCGGATGTCTCAACTGTCGATGGCACCCTTTCCTTTGCTCCAGGCCAATCCACCGCCACGATTGACATTTCCGCTGTGCAGGACGACATTCCCGAGCTTGCCGAGCTGTTCGATGTGGAATTGTACAACCCGCAAACTGGTCTGTTTGTGTCGGAATCTGGTAGTGTCGCCACGGTCACCATCAGCGAGAATGACAACGCGGCCGGAGTTGTGGCTTTTGCCGAGCGTTCTCTGAAGGCGTTTGACTCTGCCGGACAAGTGGCGATCGAAATTGTTCGCACCCGCGGGTTGCTCCGCGCTGTGACAGTTACAGTCGTTGCTCTTAGCGCCCCAGTCTTCCCATCCGACATGCCTGCTTCCAAGCAACCCAAGCCTGCCATTCCTGGCGTTGACTTTTACAATGCGACGCTGGAGCATGTTGCCGTTCTTTCTGCTGGCTCGAAACCACACAACCATGACCATCCCCGTTTACCACAACGCATCATCCAGTCCCCGAGCGAGCGTTTTCGTTGGCGATTGTCGATGTTTCCGGCGGCGCTGCGTTGAGCGCCGAGTCCGAGCTGCTGATATCGACGATTGTCCTGTCTCGACCACCGAAAAGTTCGGACGGCAGCGCACCAATTGCGGCTGCTGCTGGTGGTGCGGCGGGCGGCTTGGTTGTTTTGCTGCTGATTCTCCTCATCCTCGTGCGTCGCAAAAAGAAGGCGAGCAAGAAGACGGGCCGCGACTCGACTGCGGAACAGCAGCAGTTTGGTGGCGATTTGAGTGGCCGATCTACCTTCCCGCTCGACACAATGCAGAGCTACTATGTGGCCACGAGCCCGGTTCACAACCCAGACTCTTCGCAAGACTTGTACGCTTACGTGTCGCGGGAGTCCAATCAGGACTCAATTTACTCGTTTGCCCAAGACGGCTATGCGGCGTCCAACCCTGGTGTGTACTCGGCTACAAGTGATCAGTACGCCGCCGCTGGTGGCGATCTGTACGCTTCAACCGGACAGTACGCGACCACGAGCGATCACAAGCCGGCACCACAGGAGAATCTGTACTCGGCAACCAGCGACCAGTATGCCACAGTCAACAAAACCAAACAGAATGCCGCTGCTGACAACGAGTATGCAGTCACGAGTGAGCAAGAGCGCGCCAGCGTCAGCGCTAGTTCCAGCACCGGCACGATGCCATTGTACGCCAAGCCGAACAAGCAGGCTCCTGCGTCAACGATGCCAGTTTACGCAAAGCCAAACAAGCAGCAGGCATCAGCCTCTGCAAATCAGTCACCTCTCTACGATTCGTTGCACCAATCAGACTTTGAACCGGAAGGCGCGATCGTCTACGATAAGCCCCCGCCACCCCCGGCTTCCACGCACATTTGAAGTCACTCTGTCACGACCACTCCGCGACAACCAGCTTGCTTGTTCAATGGCGTCGCGGCCACTCATCTTACCTTCCGTTTGTTCAAGAAATTTACCCATTTACCCCCAAAGCCCCATTAAACTTTTGTCTTTGTCATTGTCCCAACCTGCTCTCGCCGACTCGCTCTGCATGCCTGTGCTTCCTTCTGTCGTCATTTTCTTGTTCTTACTGTAAATACACTTGTTCTTACTGTCCATACAGTTTGTCTACCAAGATGCTATTTTCAGGAAGGGGGTGGGGAGAGAGCGACACAACCAAAAGTAAAAATAACAAAAAAGAAAAAAAAAAAACAACAACAACAACATTCATGCCAACAACAATGTTATCTTCAATGGGGGTCAACGGAACAAGAAACACAAACACAGCACAAGAGAGACGCGCAGAGCCAACAAAAACCCAGTACAATCAAGTAGACTTGTAAATGCGCTGAATCTTGGTGACAAGCGCACGGCAAAGTGGGCAGGGTTTGTCGACCAGCGAAGACGCGCAGCCGTTAATGTCGCAACACACATAGTGACCACACGGCACAAAGGCAAACTGAATGGCGGCATCCATACACACAATGCACGTTTCTTGATCACGCAGCTTCTGGATTTCCTCACGCAATTGGTTCAGCTCTCTGAGGTGCGAGTTGGGCGCTTCGGCTTCCGGAGGTGCTGGGGGTGATGCCGCGCCGTTCGGCCGAGCCGAGTCAGAAGTAGGCATCAAGAACGGATTGGCGTGCGGATTGAGCGGAACTGTGAATGGGTTGTCGAGCTGGGCGCTTGCTGTAAAGTTGTTGGCAAAGGGGGAAGCACCTCCCGCATTGTGTCCGGGCACGGCGCCAAACGAGGCCGAAAGAGGGCGCGGCAACGAAAGCGAGTGGACAGCTGCGTCGTCATCCAAAATGCTGTTGCTTGGCGATGGCCGGACCACAGGAGCTGACGCCGATCTCGCGCTGGGAGTAGCAGCAGCAGGGCCAGGAGCAGCGAAATCTGCCGCCAGAACAGCATCAATAAAATCGCTCAGAGACCAATCCGATTTCGATGCATTTTGCCGCACGACGAGATCGATATTAGACTGTGAGAAGCCCATCGCCCTGACTTGCTCAGCAAAGGCCAAGATTTCGGCGCACGCTCGCTGCGCTGGACTGACTGGGGCTTGCGGAACCGGAGCGACGGCAGGGACCACTGGGGCTGGTTGAGCCGCGGCGGGAGCATCTGAAAAAAAAAAAAACAAAAAAAAAACAAAAAACAATACAACAGGGTGAGCACAGAATTCGCAAAGGTGCGCAGAGGTTGCCAACAAACAAACAAACAAAAAATCAGAAAGAAACGAAAACCGGAAGCAAAAACAAGAAGAAACCGCCATGAAGCTCTCACCTTTCGGACTTGCGGGCACCAAGGCTGCACTTGCCTCATCGTCTCCAGCATTCAATCGAGCATAGCTGGGCCCCTTTCCAAAGAGCCGGGACAAGGGTCGATTTTTTGGTGTAGAGGGTGGAGCTCCTCGGCCGCCCGCAGCGCCAGTGACTTTGACATAGTTGGCTGGAAGATAGCCAAACTGCCCAGCACTATTTGAGGCAAGCCACCAACCACCAGGTGCGCCGGGTGTGACAAGAAGCTGGTCGTTGGTCTGGATGGACAGTTCGTTGACGTCCTGTCCTTCGAATGCGAAGAGCGCGATCGCGGGCACAGACGGCGCTGGATGGGGGGAAGTCCAACAAAACAATTGGGAGAACGAAGCAATGCAAAGGCAATGCAAAGCAATACAAAGGCAATACAAATGCAATACAAAGCGATACATGCACGAGTTGCAAAGTGAGTGGTACAAAGCGACAACAGCATAACAGCATGTACATTTTTAGGCGGGAGAACAAGAGCTGTTGCATGTTTACCTGCGACGCCATCGGGAAGTGAAGACAGTCCACGGGACGCCGCTACTGTCGATGCATTGCCATTCAACAGCGACCTTGGGCCACGTCCTGGTGAGGCCTGGGATGACGACGACGAAGCTGCAGAAGAGGAGGAAGAAGAAGCAGAAGTGCCTTGCGCGGCTGCAGGAGCGGCGGACTGGGAGGCCGCAGCAGGACCAGGAGCAGGAGCAGGAGCACCAGCAGCAGCAGCAGCAGCAGTAGGAGGCATGTTACCCGACCCTCCTGCGACTGGAGAGAGGAAGCTGAGCGGCGCGTATCCAGTGCGCCCGTTCCTGGCTGTGCAAAAGACCCATCCGCGGCTGCTCATCTGCTGGACCTGGACAAAGTCGCCCACGCTCAGCTGCAGCTCGCCCTGCGTCTGTGGATGAAAGCTGTAGCTGACGCGGTACGTCCCAGGCCCTGCCATTCATGGTGTGTGTGTGTGTGTGTGTGTGTGTGTGTGTGTGTGTGTGTGTGTGTGTGTACCACCGATCGCTTCAATGCCTCAGCCCAGAGGCCTCCCCCTCCCCACTCAATCACTCCATCGCAATGACAAGAAATCTCAAAATGCTCTGCTCACAATCGAGTCGTCGTTGTGTGTGGAAGGGTCTTTTTGGTCGTTGTGTGACGTTTTGGCTCAGAGTGGTTGCTTCTTGGCTGCTTTTGGTTCAAGTACTCCCCCCACTCACTCTCCCCACTCACTCTCCCCACTCACTCTACCGAGTCGGATTGGACAATCTTCTGTTCCTTGTTGGGTTGTCATTGCATTCCATGCTTCTGCTGGAGTGACTTGACTTGCCTTGCCTTGACTTGTGCTTTGAGATCGACTCCGCGGTCATCAAAGTTCACCACCAGTGCGCTCCTCACTCTCACTCTCTCTCTCTCTCTCACTCTCTCTCTTTTTAAACATCGCTCATGTCGAACAACACACGCAGTGAGACGGTGCTTGTCATGTACCAGTGTATTGGCCAGTCGCAGCGGTTGCCATTCTTCGCAGAGTTGTTGTCGGAAAGGAAAAAAAAAACAAAAAGGGGGACTGAATTCTGAGCAACTCTGAGAAAGTAAACAAAACAGACAAAAATAATGTGAATTACAATAAAGTGAATGAATGAATGAAAACAATGATCTGAGCACTCCAATCTCAGTCTTACTAGAATCAAATGCCGCTGCCACAGCTGGACGAGCCCGACTGGGGCGATGTTGACGTCCCCGCGCCGCCGCCGTCGACGACGCCCGCCAAAGCGACGACGCCGAGCAACAAGAAGACACCCACCAGCAAGTCTGGCGCCAAGCAGGCAGCCAAGCAGCAGCCCGCAAAGGAGGGCGTCGACGAGGAGGTGGTCGCTGCTGCGGCGCCGTCCGTCTCGATCTGGTCTGGCGCAGCGCGGGACAAGGCTGTCGCCCAGCAGACTGAGGCCCAGCAGTCATCCGTCATCAAGAAGAAGACCAACGCAGGATCGTCGGCAGGCGTCACTGCTGCTGCCACTGCTGCTGCTGCTGCTGCCGGGTCAAAGAAGGTGGACAAGCGCTCCCACGCGGTCGCTGCAGCAAGCGACGAGGTCGTCGACAAGGCTGCTGCCAAGTCCAGCGCCAAGCCAGCGTACAAGAATGCTCCAGGCAACGCGAGCAAGCACGATGGCAAGGCGAGCGACGCTAGCACAGAAGCCAAACCGACCGTCAAGCGCGCCAAGCAGGATGGCAAGGACAAGAAGGACACTGCTGCTGCTGCTGCGACCGCGACCACTGATGGTGTGACTGCGACTGCGACTGACGGCGCTGATGGCACTGATGGCGCTGAGGCGGCAGAGCGCGTATCAAAGCGACCAACGCTGACCAAGAAGCAGAAAATGAAAATCAAGCGTGCGCGGCTTGCGCTCGAGGCGGCAACGGCCGCTGGCGAGACGGCACCGATGCAGGTTGTCGCACCCGCTGCTTCTGATGTTGACAAGAAGAGCAAAAAGAACAAGTTTAAAAACCAAGAGTATGCAGAACGATTGGCAGTCGCCAAGCTCGCTCCCCGCAAGCCCACGCCCATGGCGGTGGATGATGCGCCAGCGGTCACACCCGCAGCTGCTGGGAAGGGCAAGGCTGCAGCCAAGCCTACCGTGGCTGCAAAGAAAGTCGACAACGACAGCGACGACGACGACGACGACAATGATAGCAGCGAAACAAAGCCAACAAGTAAGGCCGAAGCGCCAAAGTCGGCCAAAGCCAGCAAGACTCCAGTGGCCACCACTGCCGCCGATAAGCTTCGTGGTGCGCGCTTCCGTTGGATCAACGAGCAGTTGTATACGACCACTGGCAAACTTGCGCAAAAGCTCTTCAAGGACGATCCCAAGTTGTTTGACATTGTAAGTTGCTTGGCGGGTTTCATGCTCTCTGCCCGCGCGAAAAGTCCTCTGGTTTTAACACGCCTTGTCTCTGTACTTGTCACTCTGTGTACCAACCACAGTATCACGAAGGCTTCCGCACGCAGGTCCGAAGCTGGCCGGTGAATCCTGTCGATGTGATGATCAAATACTTGGAAACCAAGCCCGCCAATTTGTCGGTCGCCGACTTTGGTTGCGGTGAAGCCAAAATTGCCGCGACCGCAGCTCAGAACGTGCACTCGTTCGATCTCGTTGCGGCGAACGACTCTGTGGTGGCGTGCGATATCGCACACGTTCCATTGGCGAACGAAGCGATCGACATTGCCATCTTTAGCCTGTCGCTCATGGGCACGAACTGCATTGAGTTTTTGATGGAAGCCCGTCGCGTGCTGAAGCCAAAGTAGGGCAACGAGAACAAACATTGGCGTTGGTCGATTCGGTTGCAGAGTGTTTGAGGGCATAATTTGTCTGTTGTGTTTGTTTGACTTTTGCTCCTTCCTTGACTGCTAACACACAGGGGCACACTTAAAATTGCCGAAGTACTCAGTCGCCTGCACAGTCCCAAGCAGTTTATTGCTGTGTTGAAAGAGCTCGGCTTTGATCTGGTGAATCAGGTACGCTCTGCATGTTATTTCTCAATCGTTCATTTTGTTTGGTTTGCAGTTAGTTGTTGTTTCTGACAGCACACTTTGCATTGCAGGATGGCACCAACAATGTCTTTATTGTGATGGAGTTTATCAAGACCCCTCGGGCGTCGACCGTCAGCAAGCAAAACATTCAGCAGTACAAGGACATGCTTAAGCCATGCCTGTACAAGAAGCGATAAACCTTGTTCTCCATGAATTTCAATTGAACTTGTTCGTTCCTACCTTTCCTTCTTCCTTCCTTCATCATCATTTTTAACTGTATTGGGAACATGCCAGCCAAACGACAATGTTTCAACCATCAACGCGGTTTCGGGGCTTCTGTTTTTAGAGCTTTGCGTTGACAATCTTGACGAAATCGGGCTTGAGCGAGGCGCCGCCGACAAGGAAGCCATCAATGTCGCCCTGCTTGGCCAGCTCGTTGCAGTTGTCGGCAGTGACAGAACCACCTGAACAAGGAAACCGGAATGCGGGGGAATGTGAGCGCGCATTGAAAACCTCACAGTAATGCAAAAGAACAAGAAAGCAAAACAGAAAACAATAAAAGGCAACGAAAAAAAAAAAGCATTTCCCAAGAACGAACGTACCGTAAATGATGCGAGTTGAGCTGGAAGCGTCCACAGACACATTGCTGGTGAGCCAGGTGCGAAGAGCCGCATGCACCTCTTGCGCCTATGCCCGGGGGAGAAGGGAAGAGAAACAGTGAGAAAAAAAAAAGCACATGAAGCAGAATTTCATCTTGCAGAGCCGTACCTGAGCAGGAGTGGCAACCTTGCCGGTACCAATAGCCCAGACAGGCTCATAGGCAATGACAACACCCGACCAGTTCGAAACCTTGCCTGTGAGAGGAAAAGTCCAAGCGGGAAGGTGAGAAATCCGAGGCTACAGAAATTGTCGCACGAGCTTGCGAAAAAGCAACAACGAACCAGCAATGGCCTTGAGTTGACGGTAAACGACGTCAAGGGTCTGGCCAGCCTCGCGCTCAGCAAGAGTCTCGCCTGCATTGAGATCAAACAGCAAACGTGAGTCAGTCGCTGTGCACGTTCGCAATAACTCCTCAAGATGACATACCGATGCAAGCAATCACCTTGAGGTCGATCGCAAGCGCATGAGCGACCTTCTCGGCGATGAGCTATACCCCAACGACAAGGACCATGAGCGAAAGCAGCGCAAAAACAACAGCAACAACCACCCTCAAAAACAGAAACAAAATTTGATCGCATGCATGGAATACGCTTTGTGTACCTCGTCCGACTCGTGGAAGATGGTGCGACGCTCAGAGTGACCAAGAATGACCCACTTGGCACCAACATCCTTGGCGAGTTCAGCGCTGAACAACAAAATTCAGTGAAACATTCAGACATTTTAGTGCAAATCATTTGATGAGCCGTTGAGTGTGCATACACCACACCCTTTGTACGACACACATCTTTATATGACACACACAATCCTCCCCTAGGTGCTTTACCTGATCTCGCCAGTGAAGGCACCGGCAGCGACCTTCCAGCAGTTCTGAGCAGAGACGCCCCAGTCCTCACGCAGGCGGCCACGGACGAGCGCAATCAGCGGCGAAGGCGGCGCAACAACGACCTCTAACAAGCAAGCACGAGAGACGGGAGTGAGAAAGCGCAACGTCGTGTGATGAGAGTGAAGAGGGGTCACAGTCGTCAGTCAGGTCGTGATCAATCCACATCTTGGCTTTCACGCTTTTCGAGCGTTTCAGTCTGCTCCGCGCCGCCCTGCTCTCGTGGACGGGATTGATTGCAAGTAGTGCGACTGTGTTGGTGTGGTTGGCCTTGGTTTTGTTGTGTGGGGTCACAGGCGCAGAGGCAAACGCGTTCGCTTTCATTCAATGGCTGGGCCATGCAGTTCCCTTCGCCCCCCTCCTCTTCCCACCCATCAACGGGCCGTACCGACGTTCTCGGAGGGGCTGGCGTTCAGAATAGGCACAAACGTCTCGACGAAATCGCGGGTGCCGTTGAGCTTCCAGTTGCCACCGACAAAGAACTTGCGCGTCATGCTTGTTGGTTTCCGAAAAAAAAAAAAAATCAGAAGTGGGCTATTGTCGTCGAAGGAGATCAGAAATGCAATAGCATTGCGTATGGTGCGTGTGAAAGAGAAAGGAAGGAACAACAACAACAACATCCAAAAAAAAAAAAAAAAAAAAAACCCCTTCATGAACAAAAAAGAAACTTGTCGGAGTTGGGGATTGAACCCAGGCTCTTGGATTCGAAGTCCAATGTGCTACCACTACACCACACCGACTGGAGATGAAGACCTCTCTTGGGCAATCTGCTCAGATTGGACAAAACGAACTCAACGAAAAAGTTGAGCGCGCATGTTTGCGAGTTGAATGGGTTGAATGGGCTCAGTTTCTGGAGAAATCTCGACCAACTTGCATTGCTTGATTTGTTTGATCAGATCCAGTCCTTGTTTTTGTTGGTTGAAATTTACTTGCAATGCTGTTGTATGAGAGCATGACTGAGAGACAGCGCGAGTTGTTTAATAAGGGCAAGAATGCGAGCGGAGAGCTCAGGTACGAGAAAAGCCGAGTTGACTGGAACAATGGTGGCAGCGTGGTGTACTGACGAACTGGATGGACAGTTGGAGCCGGTGGCAGCTTGGCGATGCAGGAGCGCAGGCGCTTGCTGAGGCACTCAAGGTGAACACGACGGTGACGAGGCTCCAGTAAGGCGTCTCACTTTCGCAGGTGCATGTCAAGTGGGTGATTTCAGCAAAAGGGCGTGAAGATTGGCTCGCTGAGCTGACGGAGGGGATGTGGCCAAGTCTGTACGAGAATCAGATAGGCGACGATGGAGCTCGAGCGATTGCTGAAGCGCTCAAATTCAACACGGTGACTGCGGTCGCGTAAGTCATCTCACTTTGACCTTGGTGATGCATGCGAGTGGGTGGTCTCGCTGGAGAGCAGTCAGAGGACTCACTGATGGAGGGAAAAAGGACAGGTTGAGTCAGAATGCCATCGGCAATGCGGGGGCGAAGGCGATAGCTGAAGCTCTCAAGACGAACAAGACAGTGAAGGAGCTGTTGTAAGGCAAACTCACTGTTACTGGGCTATTCAGCAAAGGGCATTCAGAATGGCTCACTGATGGATGGGGGATGGACAGCCTGGGGGAAAATCAGATTAGTGATTCTGGCGCGCAGGCGATTGCCGAAGCACTGAAAGTAAACACCACGCTGACCGAGCTCGAGTAAGGCGTCTTAATTTTAGGAATGCATGTAGGTGAATCAGAAGGAATTCAGAAGTGCTCAGTGACGGAGGGAACGGACAGTCTGCAACGGAATCCGACTGGCGTCGCTGGCGCGCGTGCGATTGCTGCGGCACTCAAAGTGACCACGACGCTCACTTGGCTCAGGTACGTCATCCGACGTTAAATCGATGCAGATGAATGGGGGTGATTTCAGCAGAGGGCATTTATGAGTGCTCACTGGATGGACAGTCTGGACCAGAATCAGATTGGCGACACTGGTGCACAAGCGATTGCTGAGGCACTCAAAATAAACGCGTCAGTGACGACGCTCGGGTATGGCATCTGATAGATATGAGTGCATGAGAGTGGGTGATCCAGCAGAGAGCTTTAAGACCGCTCACTCATGGAGTGGATGAGCAGTCTGGGCTGGAATCAGATTGGCGATGCTGGAGCCCAGGCAATTGCTGAGGCCCTCAAAGTAAACACGACGATGACTTCGCTCCAGTCAGGCATTTTTGTCTGTGAGTCGATAATTTCAGAAGGCACTCGGAACGCTGACCGCTAACGAGGATGAACAGTCTAGCCTACAACGAGATTGGCGATGCCGGAGCGCAGGCGATTGCTGAAGCCCTGAAAGTGAACTCGACACTGACTGAGCTCGAGTAACGCACTTCATTTTCATTGATGCTTTGTTTTTCAGCTTTGGGCATTACGAGAGCTCACGGATGGAGGGGGGGGGATGGACAGCTTGTACGCGAACGGCATTAGCAATATTGGCGTTCAAGTGATTTGTGAGGCATACAAAATTAACGGCATGTGTGATGACCTCGAGTAAGTTGTTCTTGCCGATGGGACGTCCTGATGCTCGCGCACTGTTCGCCCAAATTAGTTGTGATCAAGCTGACACCACTTTTTGTTTTCCTTCTTTTGCCTCTTCGTTGCGCAGCGGCGACGGCCAGATAAACTTTCTTGCGTTTTCCTTACGTCCACGACGAGTGGCAAGTGCCGAGGACCCTCAGACCGTGTTTGACTGGCTCATCAGTGGACCGACGCTGCAGGATCAATCCACATCTCTACCTGCGCTACCAGCCGAGATTGCCGAGCGCGTTTTGGATGAAGCGTACTACTGGCAAGGCGTGCAGCATACCAAACGAGCGGACTTTGATGACGGAAGTCTTTTCCATACTACTGACGGAACCGCCGATCGTGTTCTGAAAGTCACAGTGCCTCATGGAATGGATGGACATTCGATTCGGGTGAAAGCAATTCAAGTGCTACGTGACTGGCGCAAACGTCCCAATATCACATCGAACCACGGTTTCAACTTGATCGTCCGAGATGAGCAAGGTGCTGTTCGGTCCGAATTTGCTGTGAAACCGACGTTGATCGATACGACGCTTGATCTTGCGATGATCTGGCCAGCGAGTCATTCCATCATCCGAGAGATACGCGCGGGTTGGCAAGTTCACGTTAGACCCAGCGATATTGGCCGAGATGCGGTGTTTGAATCTCTTTATCTTGGATATGTCGAGCAATAATCTTTGGTCTGAATCCAAAATTTGAGCTTTTGGAAGCTTTAACACACCCATGACTGTTTTAAACAAAGGACGCTCGTTTGTATGCTTCTATATTATGAGATACATGGATAATTTTCGTTGCAAATCACCTAAACGCGACCCTCGTACAATCTTCGTACGAGCATCTCGACCCAGACACGAACGGGCCCAGCGGCGGGCAGACAAAAGTGCACACAATCGTTTTTTCGGTGCGCGTCGACACGTTCGATAGAGCACGGAACGACGTCCAGAATTTCCAGTCGAGGGTCGCGCGCGGTCTCTTGGAGGACGATTCGGTTTTGGATGAACTGATCGCCACCGAGAAAGAAGTCCGTGTAAGTGGCGCCCCGTCTAATCTGAGAATTCTTGCACCAGCCACCGTTGTGGTAGTCGCCGTCCTGGAAGTGCCTCGGAGGAGTCAGGCGAAAGAAGGTGCGAGCTGCGGGATTTCGATCGTGGCGCGCGGACGCTTCTTCTCGAGCCATGCCCATGATGTGAGCGTACACATCCACCCACGACGAGTTCTCGATCTTGTAGTTGTTGGACATGAGGTGCATACCAACGTTGATCACCATGACATCAACAAGATTGGTCATGGCCGTGAAGGACTCGGACGGTCGGTCCAAATTCAGCACAGGGTACGGCTTTGCGCCCTTCATATCGACAAGGTAGGGGAGGTAGATTGTGAACAGGGTGAAGTTGAGAGTGGGGAAGTAGGCGGCGACGCGAGTAATGTCTGGTTTCAGACCTTCTGGTAGCTGCGCTTGGACCAGCTCAAAGCCTGCCGACTCCACCAGGTTCAGGAGAACTGAGGTTGTTTCCATGGTGAGTGAGTCGCCGTGAAGACCGATCGTCTTGTTGGTGAGCGCAACAGTCAATGCCGTCTTCCAGTCAACCCCAATTTCGGCAAGCGTATCCGTGTCCCAGAACCAACGAGCCTCGTCCTCATACGGGCAGCGCCATGCAACTTGGGGCTCATAGACAATAAACGTCCTGTTCCAGTCGGCGTACGTGGCCAGTCTGGCGAGCACGCGTGGATGGTCCTCAGGGAGCTGGTACCATCCTCGCGGGGGTGCGGAAGAAGGTTGAGGGGAAGGGGGCGATACTGGTAATGCAGACTCTGTTGGCGAAGGCTTTTGCGTTGCTGGTGCTGCCGATGGGAAGTCGGTGGTGGTGGTGGTAGTGGGGAATGGTGTGTCGGCTGTCTTGTGTGACTCGGAACGGCCTAGCTCCTTTTCCGGCTCCGACGCTGTGGAAGAGGCAACCGTTGTTGCTTCTGTTGTCCTTGGGTCTGCCAAAGCGACAGCAGCGTGGTCTATTCTTTGAGGCGACGCAGCCGGCTCATCAAATGGTGCTGGTGGAGAACCCACCTGCGCACAAGCTGAAGTGTCAGACCGAACGGCCGTCTCTGACCAGACCGACGCCCAAGACAGAGCTGTAGTGATCAAGACCAGCCCAGCAAACACCACCAAGACCTTAAACCGTGGCACATCCCGCAGCATTGTTCAAAAACGAAGCTCGGACGAAAAAATCAGGACAAAAAAAAAAATAAGGAAAAAAAAAAAGAAAAAAAAAACAAACACTGATTTTTAGAGTGGGAGTGAAAACCTGTTTTCGTTTTCTATCACACTTTGCCTCAAACGTGTGGCACAGACGAACGGGGCGGTGCTGGCGAGCAAGAGCATTACAGATGATCAAGAACGTTACAAACGAACCTGAGCGTTGGGAAGAAGAGGAAGCAGAAAGAAGAGGAAAAAGAAGAAGAAGAAGAAAAAAAAGAAAAAAAAAAGGGAAAAAACCAAACAAAAAGAAAATCCCTGCTCCCGTGCGAGAGGCGCGTTGTTAGGGCTTTTTGGAGATCCCATCGCACGGCATTCCGCTGGCCTAGGGTCCACCTCGATTCCCCATGTTGCTCATGACCACCGTCGAACCAAGAAGCATCAGAGGCGGCGGGCGAGGGACGTGCGCCTTAATGGCTCGAAAGACCACTTGTGATTCGAATGGAATAAAACCCGACGCGTGCGTCGTGCGTCGCGTGGGTGATGCCTCGGGTTTGTTCACTGGGGTTCAGCAGCTAGTTCCGGTCTGCTTGCTGACCTGCGCACTGTGAGATCAACAGTACGCTGGATTCCGCCTCCCCAAACAAACCGGTCGAGGGTGTCCGGAGACAAGCGGGCTCAGCAACGCCATCGGACTCAATTTGCGATCGGCTGGTCGCTGTTGACTGATCAGACAAATCAGCAGACAGTACCGACACGCTTCATTGCACTTGCATCCATCCCACTCCCACTCCGATTTCCCAATGTTCTGATAACTAGCATCGTGTACAATTAATAATCTGAGGAAGGCGGTGTATTTGTTGGCCACACGACCTTTGAAGCGCCAATCAACGAAGAGTTCAAGCATCCAAAGAACAATCGAAGCGAAGCTTTCGGTTAGCTTCCCCGGTAGGTCGAGTAGCCGTAAGGGCTCAGCAGCAGAGGGATGTGGTAGTGAGAGGTCGTATCGGAGATAGAGAACACAATCTGAGAGCAATCAAAAACATGAATGGTGAGTTGGAACAGCGCAGACTGTTTACTTTTGTTGCTACATGCAGCAAGTGCAACTGCAGCTTCATTTCAATCCCAACATTCAAGCAGTGCAAGTAGTACCTGGACATAGGGATAGAAACCTTCAGTGTTGGTGCTTGCAAAGTACGAGTTGGTGTCAAAGGTCATTCGGTAGCGACCAGGCGTGATGCGTCCCGACAGCAATCCGGGGCAGCGTCCATCTTGGTTTGTAACTCTACGAAAGCGTGTTTTCAAGTCAGTGTTCATCGTATTCATGCAGGTCGAGTGAAAGACGACGTCCGAGGCCAAACCAATCCCGACGCTTGGCTCGACTCGAGAGGAACATACCCGGTGGCAAGAACTTCCCACGTCTCACTACCCACGCTGGCTAGCGAAGGCGAGGACGGGACAGCGGATGCGCGCTCGAGACGGAGCGGCACGTTGGCGGCGGGTCGCCCGAGCGTCGTGTCAAGGATGTGGGTAGTCAGCGGACCAGCAGCACTCATTGTGACGGCAGCAGCAGCAGCAGATTCGGGCGATTCGAGACGGAACGGTGTGTTGAGCTGAGCAACGGCACGAGACAGAAGGAGGCAGAGAAGGAGCAGGTTCGTTCGGAAACGCATCGCATCAGATCAAGGTGGATCGGAGGTTGGGTCGAACAGTGAGTTGCGTAGACATTGCGTATGGTGCTAGATTGCATCATTCATGCATAGTACAAGAGAGACGATGACAAGGAAGGAGGAGCTTACAGCAAGATGGTTGCACAAGACGGCTGCTCGCTGCATCCAAGAGCTGCTCAGAAGTAAGACTGGTAACCATTTCGCAAAAGCTTGGTCAATCAACCACGTTGGTGAAGGGAATGCACTTTGCTCGAAAGACGGGATTGCAACATTTGATTGAAAAAACAACAAACAAACAACACAAAAGCATACACAAATCCAACAGGCGCAAACTGCAGCACAACAGGACACCAATCAAGGACAAACAGGAAGAGGAGGCAAAAGAGTTAATGGGAAGCAATAAAAGAAGCAACATGAAAGATGGAGGTCCGAGCGCAGCACCAGTAACGCCAGTCAGCTTGCACAAGATTTAAAAAAAAATGGATCAAAGAAACAGTGTTCATGCGGTCGGATCAGCCAAAGAGCCCACGTCAGGACTGTCGCTGGCTGCAGTGCGACTGGTCTTTCCCTCCGACGGATCCAAGATGCTGATGGACGGAAGAGCAAAAAAAAAAAAGAGTCAGTCACCAAAATTACGTTGAACAACACATCGTTGCATCGCACGTACGAGTACTGCTTGACAAGGGTACACTCGCCACCGTCCTTGGGAATTTGATACTGATAAAAGTTACCATCAGCAGTGACAACCATGGCTTGAGGGAGTGTACTGAACGAAGACAGAAAAAAACAAAAACACAAAAAACCCCAAACCCCCAAAAACAAAGCAGCACCGTTAGCATTCGACATTGCGCAAAAACAAAGCGCCTCACAACCACAGACAGCTTACCTGCTCAACGCACAGACATTCATGACGTCGTTGCCGGCATTGGGAAGCTTAAAGTGCGCAAAGTGACGTTCGGGATCCCACATCTCGGTCAGCATCTCAGGAAGGTACGAACTCAGCGAGAACGCACCGCCCTTGCTGCTAGAGGCGCCGCTGTTTTGACGGGGTTCCTGACCAAGATTGAAAATGTGAACCGTGTCCGACGATGATGAAACACAGAGACGAGTCGAGTCCACGCTAAAGTTAATCGAGTAGATGGTGGCAGGATAGCTGCCGCGTCGGAACTGATAAAGCTTTTTGGCGTCGGGGACGGAAAAGACGCGAATGACGGTGCCCTTCTCGGACGACGTGGCAAGCATCGAGCCAGAGTAGTTGAATGCAAGGCACGTCACAGGGCCCTTGTGCGCCTGCATCACGCTGGATGCTTGCATGTTGAGTGCATCAAACATGAGCACGTTGCCGTCCGTGTGGCTGGCAGGATAGGCGAGATAGTTGGAGTCCGAGTTTGGTGACAAGGCGCAGATACCCCGCGGATTTGCCGCAGTGTCAACCGTGTGCAAAATTTTCATGTTTGTAATGTCATAAATGTGAATTCGGTCTTCCAAGACGACGACCAGCCGTTTCCGGTTCATCTACGAAACAACAAACAAGCAGAATGAGCGAGGTTTGATTATAACGCGACGGCATCTTGCTTTCAAGCATCGACAAGGGAGCCCGTGGAAGGAAGGCACCAGCTAAAACAAAAACAACTCACCTTCACGGCTAGAATTTTGTTGACAAAGTTGAGCTCGCAAATGGTCGATTGGCGTTTCGTGTTGGCGATTTGGAGCCGTCGTGGTGAGAACGCGGGATGTGCGCCAGCGCCAACCAAGGCGACCAAACTCGTGCAAAAGAGCATTTCAACGATGCCGGTGCCACCTTCGACTGTGGGTTATCAAATGAGTACAAGCGGTAACAAAAAAAAAGTGGAGGAAGTGAGTCGATCGAGTAGACTATGGACGACATCAACACACTCCCGCCTTGTTGTGCGTCATGCAATCAACAATCCTGTGTCTCTCCAAATAAACAACAAGTCTTACATCGACCGTAACACTTGGCGAACGGGTCGCAGTTGTACATCTTGTAGCCTTGCTTGGTTCCAACCGAGATGCATCTGGCCAAACAATGAACAATTGTAACAATGAGTCGAGGAACCACAGCCAGCTCCATCGAGCGACGAATCGGGTGCACACGACGACGACGACTACGACTCGGAGTACAATAGCTCGTTCTATGCTGTGCACAAAAACGAGAAAAAGAAAAAGAAAAAAAGGAAGAAAAGGAAGGATTTCGCTGTCCTTTGAAGCATATTGCTCAGAACGACAAACAAACAAACAAGCTTGTGCTGTCCTGTCCTGTCCTGTCTTGTGCTGTCCTGTCCATACGTTTCCTTCCCTTATGTTTGCATTGCATTTTTGCATTGCAGGCTGCTCAAAAGGCGCGCATTTCACATTGGAGCGAAAGTAAGAGCGGAGACTAAGCGACTCGCTCTGCTTCCCCCCCTTTTCGCGCGCCTTCACTTTCCTCTTCCAACAGCAAACCAGTCAGTCTCCAACCACCGGCAGGAAGAGCAGCGTTGGTCTCGCAGTGGAACCGAAGCGTTGGTTCGACGAAAGGGAAACCAGAAAAAAAGAAAGAAAAAAGAAAAGAAAACAAAAAAGCCGTCCTTTTTATTATTGAGTTTTCCTCATCGCTCCAATCCATCAGGTCAGCGCGTCGGGGTTGCGGGACGTGACAGAGAAAAAACAGCACTTCCAGAGAACAGCTGCATCGCCACCAGCAAGCGGCCGGCAGCACCCGATGAAAAGGAAAGCGAGGAAAGAAAAAGAAAAAAAAAAAAGAGAGGAAAAAAAAAAAAAAAAAAAAAAAGAGCGTCAGCCACCGTGAGAGAGCGAGAGAAGGTCGGAAGTGGGGGCTGCATGAGGCAGAGAGAAAGAACGAGAGTACGTCGCAGGGGAAAAGCGGGGGCGGACGGCAGAGGAGACGGAGCGAGCGGATCCAGCGCGGGAAGAGCGTGAATGTGGCGTCTTGGTCACTCTATCTCTCGTCTGTGTCTGTGTCTGGCGGGGCTTCCAACTCGGTCCAGCACCACACAGGAGCTTCAATGCGCTTCGAATGAGCAGATGTGCCTGCCGATGGGAGGGAAAACTGGAGGGAAACTCACGTGTAATCTTGGTTGAAATTGACAAACAAGAGCTCGTTGCGAGGCTTATTGGCTAGATTCATAATGGATGGAACGAAAGAAAAGAGGAGTGGAGGGTTTCTGAGAAGAAGGGCAATTTACACAAAATGACACACAATCGAATGGAATGAGACACGCAATGGCGCGACTGAGTCTTTGAATCGCGCGCAGTGGAATCCAGTTTGGAGCAGTGTGATTCGACAACGAACTAGATCACAGCACAAAGCCACAACAACAACAACAGCAACAACAAAACAGCAACAACAACAAACAACAAACACACAGTCACACAAATGGACATCAAAATGACAAAAGCAAGGGCAGAGAGTTACAAGCATCAACCCTGTCACTCATCCTCGCCAAACAAACAAACCAGAGTTCCCCCTCCTCCAGCTTTAATTGTGAATCTTGATGGCACGATCGTAGCGGGAGACAGCCTTTGGCGTTTTGTCGACATGATCCAGACCAAGCATGTCCTGGAGACCCAAGCGATTCAGAACAATGTCGTCTACAGATACAACAAAACAATCCGCCCCCGGGTGGTGAGTCTCAGCGTTGGGCGTGAACAACAAACAGAGCAAACAAGAATGGCCAGACTCACTTTCGTCCGCAAACTCTGTCTTGCGGCCGTACTGCTGCAAAATAGCCAGCCCATACTTGGCAAACTCCTTATCGTTGACGTCGAGCTTGGCTTGAAGCCGTTGGCGGAGTTGCGCGACAGTTTCCTCCTGCATTGCAACGAACAACAAGTGAGCGAGCAGAAAAAACGAAAACGAGAGCCAAAAAGCATTGTGTCACAAAAACAAACAAACAATCAAACAAACAAACAAACAAACAAACAAACAAACATACCGGGCCGACACGGAAAACGAACGGTACTCCGTGCGGGTGGTACGATTCAATATGGAAGTGTTTGACCAAAACTAGCCGATCAGTCTCTGCGACATCCAATTGGTCGAGGGGAATTTCCTGTAAAAGCGAAAAACAAGAAACAACGAGTTGAGCAACAACAAGCTCCACAACACACCAACCTGCAAAGCAGTCAGTCACCAACCTCGAAATAATAGGTCGTGGTGTACATGTCGGACGTGTACGGGACGGCTGGGTCCGTAGGGGAATACTCCTTGTAGCTGGAGCCGCCAGAGATGAGAGAGAAGATTCGGAACTTGCGAGAGCCGCCCTCCGGGAGCTCAACTTGCTTCAGCGTGTCGTCCAGAACATCTTGAAGAGTGGCCTCCTTCGGGACGAGGAGACTGAGCTCCTTCTCCTTTTGATTCTTGGCGTTCATCAGCACCGAGCGAACTGGAGCGCGGTTTTCCACATCAACAATGGACATGCTCAGCTTCTCGTAGAACAGCAGCGTGGAGCGACGGTTGGTGGCCGGATAGGCTGCAGTGTACAAGTACAGCAGCATGGAGCTAAGGGTCGAGATCTTCTGGCGGCTGATCGGAGCCATCGCGGGGCCAAGTTCCCCAGTGGCAAGAATGTAGCGAACGCCGGTGAACCGCAGGAAGAGCGGATCGGTGCCCGTCTTTTCGCCCACCTGCTTGGAAACCTCGTCGTACGACGTGAGGACTGAGAGCTCAAGCTTGAAGCCAGGGACGGTTGGCTTGTCGAGCTCGCGGAATTCAACCACAAGGCGGTTGCTGAGGAAGCCAAAATAGTCCGGGACGAATGGTCGCTCGTACTGCTTGGCCTCTTCAGCGTCGAGGGTGCGCTCAAAGCAAAGAATATCACCGTGCTGCAGCTCGGCCTTTCGCAATTGCATGATCGGCGACTTGTTTTCAATCATCGAGGGCTTGACCTCCTCGTAAACGGAGAGAGCAGCCTCAGCAGGCAAACCAGCCGCTTGACGGATGAGTGGGAAGAGGTCGGAGAAGCGCTGCGCCTTGTCAACCACAGAGTGAGTCAGGTAGCGCATCAGAGACTCCTTCGGGTCGTAGTACTTGAAGAAGAGCAGCATGGACTTTGAATCGACTGCTGGCGGTGCTGCGTCCTCCAGTTGCTCAACGTACAAGCGGTGTCGAGATGTTCCGCCGACGACCTGAAGCATGGTGCTCGCGGGAGAGGTTGCCTCCAACGGCGTGTCTGGACGAATGGTCTTGTTCTCGCGCGTAATGCACGTCCAGAAGCGCTGCTTTGCGACTGGAATGCCAAGGGCCTGCTCAACCTTGGCCTGGAAGTCTGCAAAGGGCGAGGTGAAGAGCACGCGGCTGCTGAACAGCTGCGGGCTTTGGAAGTCAACGAGATCAAACTCTGAATGCTGCGCAAAGTGCTGGTCGGAGCAAACCGTCACCGACATGTAGAGGTGCTCCTCGTCGCGACGCTTGCGCTCGCTCTCCTCCTTGCGAGACTCTTCCGAAAACCGGTCAGACAGGAACGAAGGAATGTGCTCGGCCGTGACCTCGCCCATGACCTGCTCCCAATGCGACTCGCGGATGTAGACCAGCATGTAGGCGTTCGTGATGCGGCGCGCCAGACGCAAAAACCCTGCACGAGCCATGGGTCCGCGTGGTGCACCCAGAGGAAGCGGCGGTTCCGACGAGCCAAAGTTGTCTTCCATGGCTTCTTCGTTGGTCGCGGGGGAAACGCGGTCGTCGTCAAACTTGTAAAACTTGCCGTCTCGCTGCGACTTGATGAAGGCCACGTAATGGCCACCGTTCACGTCGCCACTGTGCACCAGCACAGAGTGCAGCGTGTAGTGGGCGGGCGTGTCCTCGGGAGCAGCGAGGTACTTTTCCAGATCGAGCTTTTCGGGGAACTCGAATTGGTCGTTGATCTTGACCATGGCGTCCTTGCGGAAGTCGTACTCGAAGCGCTTGAGCTGCAAATGCAGGACGGGCGGCAGAGAAATGAACGTGACGCCCTTCTTGGCGTCCTGCAAGCCGTGGCCCTCGGCAGCATACTTGTTGTCGCCGTCGAGCGTCTCCACCTGGACATAGTCCTCAAACGAGGCGTACACATCCTTCATGCCCTTGACGTTGAGCTGGATGTCGTAAAAGGGCTCGACGCGCGAGCTCTCATAGTCGACGTTGATGCAGCGAATGTACGACTTCATCTTGCCCTCCATGAGTTGCGCGATCACCTTCTCCACGGGGGTATTCTTCATCTTGGTTTCAACGTTGTCAATCAGGACGCGACTGAATTCCTGCACGTCGTGCTGCATGAACGAGTCGTACGTGTCCCAACCAAACGACTTGGTCAGCTCGTGCGTGCCGACGGCCTGCTCCGCGGTCTGCAGGTTGAAAAAGACGCGCTGCAGTGCAAGCGGCACACTCTTGGCCAGATTGTCTTCGGACGTGTTCATGCTGTACACAGCCTTGCGGAATTGCTTGGTAAAGTAGAGCGTCTGCAGCAGCGAGTTCATGTAGCACGTCGCGCCCTGGTTGCGCAAGCCCACAAAACCCGTTTCCTTGCGGCTGTTCCAGTTGGCCCAGGTCTCGTTCTGAACCGTCTCCCAGTCTCTTACAATCATGAGGTGTGTGACAAGCGTGACAGTGTCGTTCACGATAAACTGTTTCTCGGGGTCTCGCAGCTCCGCCAGGGGCACGAACGACTTGTAGCCCCAGTCCTGCTCGGCCGCAGTATACACGTGTCGGGTATCTGCGTGATGGAGAGGGAGCGTGAGACATGAAGCATGAGTGCGGTTGGCAGAACAAACAAACAAGAAAGAAAACCGAAAACAATCAAACAAAATCCGCAACGCGCCGCAGCTCCACAAACCCATACCCTTGGAAAAGCTGACTTGGTCACCAAGAGCGCTCTTGACGGTGATGGAGAAGATGACGCACTTGCGGAACTTGGCGGGGTGATCCTTGATGTCGCAGCACTCCAAGAACACCGAAAGATGCGGTGGGTTGGCATCCTGACCCTGCGGGAAGATCAGCAGGCGCCTGTACGTTGACAAGAACGTCGATGAGATGCAAGGACGAGGTGCGTGTTTGTGGCATGAGTGAGTGAGTGAGTGAGGGACTGAGATGGAAGAAAACAGAAAACAAAATGGTTATGTCACAGATGATTGAATTGGGGGAGAAGAAAGGTGTGTTGCCACCTCACGACTCATGTGCGCTTATAGTCGAGTGCGTATGTCTACTATGACGCGTCTATGAGGCACAGAAAGAGAGGAGCAAACCACTGCGCATCGATCACAGCGCACTTTTTTTTTTTTTTTTTTTGCTGCCAGTACTGGCAGAGATACCCACACGTTGACCAGGGCAGGCATCGACACAGAAACACCCCCTACCAACCCCAACCCTCCCCCGCCAGACCAGCTGCCGTTACGAGCACAACCAAGGAGGAGGAGGACAACGACTTCCAACGCGAACGGACGAAAGCAACACCACGCAGCAGCACCGCGCCGACGGGAATTGCGTTTTTGCAGTGTTGGGTTTTCAAGTGCACGTACCATTGGTTGCCATCAATCTTGACGGGCTCGGTGTGGAACTTGGTTGTGCGGGCGTTCCAGTCTGGAAGCACAGTGACGAACGACTCGTCCAGCTTGTGCTCGTCGCCAGGCTCAAGCAGAGCGTCTGCGCATGTGCAAAGGCCAGCGACAGAGTTGGAGCAGAAGCGGAGAGTGGGAAGTGGACCAGAGTGAGTGACAACGCGCAACGACGGTGACGCAAGATCAAAAATCATTGAAAAATAATGGAAAATAATGAAAAAAATTAGTGAGGCGATTTCGTAATGGAAACGACAATGCGTTACTGATTGCGCTCATCAGAAGGATTAGAAAAAGCACACTCGAGCGCTTGTGTCAGCTTTTTTTTTTTTTTTTTTTTTTGACGTGTTCAACAACGCAACGTTGAAAGGAGGGGAAAAGCGAGAGAAAGGGGAGCGGAGTTGGGATGAGATGGAAGGTGGGATGTAGAACGCACTAAGTCCTTGCTTGACGGCGGCAGGGGTTGGCGACGGCGGGGCAGCAGCGGCAGCAGCAGCGTCGGGAGAGGGCACAGGAGGAGTGTTTGCAGCGTCACTCTGGTGCTGTTGCTGCTGTTGCTGCTGTTGCTGCTGGGCTGCGGGTGCATCAGCAGCATCGGATGCGGGCGGCGTGTCCTGCTGCGGTGCGGGATGGTCGTGCGCGGCAGTCATTTGCTCAGTGCAGGATGACGATGAAGAAGAAGAAGTGAAGATTGAAAAAAACAAAAACAAAAAAAAAAAACAAAAAAACAAAGAATGAATGAACAAAGTTTGGATTTTGACCTCTGATCTCAGATTCGACGGGATGAACGTTGGGGAAATGAAAAAATGACAGCGCAAAGAAAGAAGGAAGAAAAAGTACTGCCACAGACAAACAAAAATGGCAGCAGGGGCGCGCGGGGGGGGGCATTGAGCAAATCTGGTCGGTCGAACGCAATAAAGTGGGTTAGAGGACTACAGGAGCGAGGGTTGACCCAATGAGAAAGCGAGCAAGACGGGTAGCAAGAAGCTCATAGTATGATACCTGGGGCGAGACAAAGAGAGATAGATAGATCGAGAGAGAGACGAGAGAGAGTGAGTGAGTGAGAGCCAATCCCAACACCAGAGTTCAATGCACTTTTGCGCTCCCCCCTCCACCCTTCTCTCCACCTCCACACATCCGCCCTCCCCCTTGTACATTGACGATTAGTCTCGACTACCATGAATCCCACCGGAATCGGATCCAGTCAAACTTCTTTTTCTTCAGATATTATTTTTATTTTTTGACGGGTCTGAGCTTTGCCCAACTGCACATTGTTTCCTCAACTCCAGCGGTCTTCTCTCATCTCACCACAGCCATGAGCGACGACGAGATGTGGAATGGCCGTGACTGGGCCTGCCTCATCCTGTACACCACGCTGTTTGCCATCACCGGCACCCTGTTCGCGCTGAACGTGCGCAAGGCAGAGACATGGCGCTGGAACCCACAGCGGCTCTTCTTTGTCCTCCTGCTGTTCCAGTCTGCAGGTGATGCATCCATGACGCTTCGTCGACTTTATCAACCCAGCAGTTCTTCTTGTGCTGGTTGCTGTTGGATTGTCCTTTTTGCACCTTCATGGCTTCGGTGTTGCCCGAGTGTTGGAGTGTTTGTTGGTCGCGACCAGCCAAACGAGCTGTGTTCCTCCTTTATGCTCTCTGACAACTCGCTCGGCAAAACCCGCGCAGCTGCTCCTTCTTTGTGCGGTCTGTCTTTCGAAGGTGGCGTGTGGGTTCAATGAGACTGACAGTGTTCTTGGGTGACTTGGCTTGGCGGGCGCGCACCATCAGCCGGTTTGCCGATGACCGCTTCGCTCTCGCTCGCTCAATGCGGGGCTTTGCGCCTGTTCTCTGGCTGGTCAAAACCCCTGCCCCGTCCTGGGGACCCGACAATGAAGCCACTCGTTGTCTTGGGGCAAGGTGCAGCGGGGGGTCCGCTCGGAGTGGCTTTTTGGTGGCTAGCGAAGGGGCTGGCGTGTGACCTCGTTGATTGCTCATCCTTCAGATCACAGTCGAGCGACGCGCCAGTGCACCACTTTGGGAGGCCCCAAACCCCCGTGCACGCTTGAATCTTGAGACTCTGAGCAAATCAGCTCGAGCAGGCGCCAAAGAGGGAAAATGGCTCGAACGGAAGGGGGTGGCACACGGGACAGCGTTGAGAGCGGAAGGTTTTTCTACCTCGCTCCGTGTATCCTTGTATCGCAGCGACCCAGAAGCGACCTCTTTTTTTTGTTTGTTTCACTGTGGATGTGCCACAGTCGACGCTTGTCTCTTGGTTGATGGTCACTGATTTTTTTTGTTGCTTTTTGCTTTTTTTTTTTTGCCAGGTCGAATCGTTTACTTTATTCTCGCGATTGGCGAGCGAAACAAGTACTTTCCAGTCAACGACGTTGCGATTTCAGTGACTGCATCCATCCCAGCGTCAATCTTCTTTACAACATTCACGGTTCTCTTGTATACATGGTAAGAAGCCGAATCACAACGTTCTGCTAGTTCGAGATTGTGTTCCCGTTGTCCTCACCCCGACACGTCCTGCGAAACCAATCAACCACCCCCACCCCCACTTTTTGTGTTTCTAGGTCTCGCGTTGTCACACGATTTTCACGGTCATTGCGCGGGATCGGAGCTTTCTCAAGTTTCACGCCGTTCTGCATCCTCATCAACGTTTTGGTGTACTTCAACGTCATCATCCACTTTGCATTACGCTACTCGGTGGAGGATGGCAGCAATGAGGACCAGGTCGAGCACTCGTATGCCTACATCATCGGGGCGTTCTCCGTGCTCCTGGCACTGGTGTTTTTCATTTGCGGCCTGCAACTCTTCTTCTTCCTCCGCAGCGACCCCCACTACAGCAGTCAAGCGCGCACGAACGAAATGCTCACATCCATTTCGATGTTGACCATGCTCTGCTTGTTCTGTTTTTCGTTCCGTGCGAGCATCATTTTCGTCTATCTGACGGACATTTCGTCGCACTTTACAGTCAGCTTGCTGTACTACACATTCTCCGAGCTGCTCCCATCCTCGGTGATGCTCTTCATCTTTCGAAAGCTTCCGGACGGAGCCGTCGAGTTTGCCGTGGCCAACGCCAACCGCGGCGGATACGGCACCATGTCCACGCCCAGAAAGCGCAGCAGCGTGCGAGGCGCCGTCACCGTGGGTCTCCACAAGGCACACGACCAAGGCCAGGTGTTCCCCGTTACAGGAGGCACGGAGCAGTCGACGTTCGGAGTACTGGCAACGTCCGCCTCGTCCTCAGCCGTGTCGTCTCGATTTACGACATTGTATGGTCCTGTTGGCACCGACCACTCTGCCATGTCCACTGAGCGATTACTGGACCAAGTAGATGAAGCTGGCGTTGAAGACGAGGAAGCATAGTTCTGGTCGTTTTCCCTGTATTTTTGCATTTTGTTGTTTGTTGTTTGCGAGTTTTTGGTCGCTTTTTTTGGTTTTGTTTTGCTGGATGATGTTAGCTCGTTGCGCTTTTCCCCCCCTGTTGGTTGTTATTTCATTTCAAAGTCGTTTTACATTTTATTCGCCCAGCACACCAAGCGCACCAACATGATCAACCTTTTGTTTTCGACAGATGCGCACTCCTACTTTTCTGATTTTTCCAAACCAAACAAAAAAAAAAAAAAATGTTGCTTTCGACTCGCTGTGGCATTCGACAGGTAAGAAGGGGAGCGGTCGAGTTGCAACTTTATGATCTACAAACCCAAACGCTTCTGCTGCCGCAGCCAAGGCATTACGAGTCCAACATGTCGTTTCGAGTTCGCGTGCGACGATGAGGGGCATCACATGCAAACAAAATGGCAGCGTCGAGCGTTTTTCTTTATTTTTTGGATTCTCTTCGTTTCGGTTGTTTCTCTTCGAATTTGAACTTGCCGTGCTCACCTCGAGAGGTATTGGAGGGCAGGTATTTTCCCGGATTGCCTTCCAACAGTACATCGGGGGAGGCAGGTGGGGGGGGGAGGAAGGTGGGGGAAGAGTTCCAGCGACTACTGGGCCTTTTTCGTTTCACAGCGTTACTCTTTCTACTTTGTCATTTTGCTCTTGGTCTTGGTTTCTGAAAATGCCACAGCGCCGTCAACTAACACTGTCATACATTCCACTCAGATGGCTTTGCCATCAACCCAGGCTCTGATGGCATCGGCGATGAGGCTGGCGCACAAGAGCCATGCAACTCCAAACGTCAAGTCGAAATCCGAGCTGGACCGCCTCCATGACGAGCAGGTTGGCTCGAAAGGCGAGGACACGGCCATGTACCCAGAGTTCCAGCCTCCGCCACGCTCCAGCGATGCGGCAAATCTCAAGCGGGATGCGGGCACGCGGGGCATCAACGCCGCTGCCGAGCGATTCCTGACTGGGCGAATGGCCAGCGACTTGCTCGCAGACAAGGCTGAGCGTTTGCGCACGCTCGGGGTCGTGAGCATGCGTGAAACTGATACGGCACTCGACGCTGTCCAGCGCATGGCCGAGCTGAATCTCGGGTCGGTCATTGTCGTTCCGTCCAAGATTGGCGGGGCGGAGGGACAGCCAACCTCAGGCGCTCTCGGCCCCAAGGACACGAGTGTCTCCGCGATGGGCGTGTTCACCGAAGCACACTACGTGAAAAGCGTGCTGCTCAAGGGGTTGAATCCAGCCCGAGTCACCCTTGGCGAGGTTGCCGCTCGAGGCATCACATGCGTGTCGGCGAACGTTCCTATTGAGCAGGTGATGCAGCGTTTCATTGATACGCGCGTCCGCAACCTCCCAGTGATTGCCACAGCCGACACGACCGACTCGAAGGTGTCGCCGCACAGTCTTCCGCGCGTTGTTGGCATCTTGTCCATGGGCGATCTGCATCGAAGCCTGGTGATGCGCCTGAACGACTTCCCATTCATGGAGTCAGTGCTCGTGCGCGACGTGCTCGCCCTGCCCGAGTCGGGCTTGAAGTTTGGCGTTGTCGACCACACCCTGGACGAGTTGCGGATTGACCACAACAAGTCTGCTAGCCACGCGCTGGAGCTCATGATCAAGCATCGCACGCACGTTTGCTTTGTTCACCAGGCCAGCTCGTTCCTCGGTCTGCTTTCGATGCGCAGCTGCATTCGAGCGGCTGCCGCAGGCCGCGACCTCAAATCGGTCAAAGTCGAGTCGCTCATGGAAACGGACATTACTGTCGTGACGCCCGAATTTCCGCTTGTTCAGGTACCGTTGTTGCGCTGTTTTTTGTGATTTGGTTCATAATGAGGGGGCTTGCTGGGGGTTTCATCTTAAACTCATGGCTCTTGGCAACTGCACAGGCGATGAAGGCGTTGGTCCAGATTGAACGCTTTGTTTTGCCCGTCTCAACATACATCGGGGACACTTTTGATGCCGATATGCGGCTGGCAGGCGTCGTGAGCGTTCTGGATGTGCTCAACATGTTCCACTTCAAGTACCATGCTCTTCGCATGGCGCATCACCGCTGAGAGTTGTGCATTTTGATGTTTGTTTTTCGGTTGTTTTGCGAGGGACTGCTGTAAATCACAATAAAAGGCCTTGCCACACTTTTTGGATGCGCCCTATTCATTGTAGGATTGAAGGATTTGCACCCTTGAAGCCAGAATACAAAAATTACAATCCATGGTATTGGTAGAACATCCCGCCGCAATCCAGCGAGTGACAATCCTCTTTTCTCATATAGTACAAATCGTGTTTCAAAAAAAAAAATCAATCAACTAGACACCTGCCCATGCACCCAAAGAAAGTACAACCGCTACTTGGGTACATCACCACCAGCACTGAGGACTGCCTGGATGCGTCGCGGCATCGAGTCAATCAGACCGAGACAGACATCCGGCGTTAACACTTTTTCATAGACCCGTTGGAAGCGTTGCCACAGCGCCTCTTGGGTTTTCATGGACTTGGACTTGTAGACCTCGGCCTTGATCAAATCCCAGCCGTCCTCGAGTGGGTTGAGGTCGGGCGAGTTTTCAGGCCAGGTGATGAGGCCAATGTTGTTTGCACTAAACCAGGCGTGCACTTCGGGTGCATGGTGGATGGGCGTGCTGCCGTCTTGCATCAACGTCAACCCTGGCGGATTTCCCCACACAGCAAGGCTCGGCAGCAAGTCGTCCTGAAGCGTGTCGAGGTAGACTTGCGTGTCGACGACGTCGCCGAGTTCTGTGAATTTCGTTATCCCAAACCGTGATATGCCGCCCCATAGATTGATCTTTTCATCGCTATTGTTGTTGCTGCTGCTGCTGCTGCTGCTGCTGCCAGTGGCTTTGATGTCGTTGTTCTGAGCGCTGTGGTTGCTGCTTGTTGCGGCTGGTAATCGAGCACTTGCGGACTGTTGGGAATTGCCAATCTTGCTCCAAAACCTCTGCTCGTTCGTCTGAAGCGGCGGTGATGATTCGGGGCGGAGTCTGAGCCCGATTTGAGTGGTGAAGACGACGTTGCGCCAATCCTCGACTGTCCAATCGGCGCACTGTTGCGCAAACGCCAGCCTCGCCTCCCGCTGTTCCTTTGACAGCGATCTCGTATGTGACTTTGCTGAGTGAATGACGATTGCTCCCCGTCTCGGTCCGGTGCCAGCTGCAGGCGTAGCAGCAACAGTGGTCGTAGGAGCAACAGT